ATTCGCTTTGCAAACTAAAATCCACATTCTTTATAATCCCACGCAGAAAAAGGAAATACAAAAAATTAAAAACCAAAAAAAATACTTAGTTGAGGTTTTTCCCATGTGCAGAGGCACACAAAAAAATAAAGTAGGAAATGTGTGGAAATGTAAAAGGCAAATGAAACTAACTCGGAGGGGGGAGGAAAGGGTGTGTGTGTGTGTGTGTGCCAACGAGAGACAGGACAGCCAGGACAGGCTGGCATTTCCTACAAAACGCCGAGCAGCATTTTGTCCAGTCACGAAAAGTTTTGGTCTCCGGCGAACAAAAAATGAAACAAAAAAAAACAGGAGGAGCAGCAGGATATATAGACACACGTAGGACTACCTACACACTGCCACGGAATGGCGGGAGTTCAGTTTCAGGTTAGCAAAGAAGCACTCGAGTAGTCGACAAAGTCTCAAGTTGAATGAAGAACTCACGCAACTTGGCCAGCAAACACACACACACGCACAAGGACGAGCACACACACAGGCATAGACAGGCAAGAAGAGGTCCTGCAAACATGTTATGTCGGCCAGGAATTCTAGTTGTTTGCCTTGATGTCGTTTGCCCAGGCTAACGATGTTGCTGCGACTACAAAATTTGGTGCATTTGAAAATTGAAATTTATGAGGGGAATTAATAATCATATAAATACAAGGATACCGAGATGCTGACAGTAAGGATCATACAGGTAACATGTCCTCTGACCTGGGCAAAGGCATTACCATTCGATATATCTCAATTATGAATCAATTGAAGCCCCCAGGCTTGTCATTCATTCGTTTTTCAGACTTGTAAGTCTGGGTGGAAGCCTTCATTAATTTTCCCATAAATCTTCTTTTTTTTTTTGGGAATATTTCACATAATTCGGCTTGCCAAACTGCAGCTCATAAGCCGCTTAATTATTGTGTCAGCTAACTGAAAGTTAATAAACCACCCATTGTCATGAAAATAAAATCCAAAAATAAACTGCCAGACCAAATGGGGCCCAAGCCAAAATCAATAATAAATACATAAACAGGCCAACACACAATGGGGCCAAAAACACAGAGAAAGAGAGACACACACACACACAGTGAAGACAATACCGCGATGAGCAATGGAATACTCTGCAATATAAGAAGGAAAATAAAAAAATTTGCATATAAGGAAAAGCTATAATAATACCATTAATTGAAGTTAGTTAAATTTTAATTATATTTATCTAAGAGATTCCTCTAAACTAAGTATACAAATTATCTCTTAAAATGTAGTAAAAACCCCGCAATGCAATAAATAATTCAGCATTTTATCAGAGTCATCATAATCGCTGAATTGCGTGGGATAGGACCCGCCACAAATAAGGATAATAAGCCAGCAATTAGTGTCACCGATAGACTTTGCTGAAGCCTTAAAGCGAAACATGGCCTAAAGCCAAAGGCAAGAAACCCATTTAAAGCAATTTTCCCGGGGTTTCTCAGCGTACGAGGAGCAATCCTAAAAAAAAAAAGGTTAAGCGAGGCACTCGCACAGACGCAAATCTATTATCCTACATCCCTTTTAGGTTTCACGGCAGAAATTGAAAAAAGAATAGAAAGAAAAGCAATAGAATATAGAAAGAAATGAGTGGGAATGGCAGAAAAGTTGCAAGGACAAATCGCAATTTCAGTTTTATGAATATTTTTCTATTTGCCTATGGAAAACTACAGCTGAATGGCGAACGCTTTATCAAGACCTCCTTTTCGGGCGCCAAGTCCTGCAATCAATTCAATGGCCAGGAGGCGGGAGGCGGGTTGGGGGAAACTTTCTTAATACAAGATACTTAAAGGACTCGACGACGAAGTCCCCACATTCAATTGCCACCTCGTCGTGGCAGAAGGATATTCCATTTACAATGTGTGCGACGAGGCGGTGCCGTGCGTCCTGGCAAACTCAAACCAAAAGTCTTAAGTGAATTAAGAGGAAAACTTGCCACATTTCTAAGGACACCCGCCACACTCCCCCTCCGACCATCCCGTGCGTCCTCCATCAAGGTTAGCCCACTTAATGAGCTCTTGAAGTGTTCAAGTTTGAGTTTGCTAAATACCTACACATATATAGACATATATATATATACGAGAGCCTGAACAAAAAAGGATTATTTGATATGGCAGCCCCCGCCTACCTCTTAACGATTTCCACCCAAAAAAAACCGACTGACTGGACACCTGTGCGTGGCCCTACCTCCATCCTTCCTCCCTCTTGTGGCTCCTACAGCCAGGATTGATTGTTATGCCACCGAAAACTAAACGCAGGAAGGGCTCGGCTCGACTGGGTTTGCTTTAGTTTTGGTTTTTGGTTTTTTTGTGGCCACTTAATGATTGCCAGAAAGGAGCAGAAAAAACTGCGGTGCCTTTGGGGAATGTCAAGAGGAGGGGCGGCGGGTGTCGCCCACACCTTGACATAGCATAAAACAATTATTGGAATTTCTTTCTCTCACCTTTGCGGTCGATTGCGTCGCTGGGTTGGGCATTGGGCTCTGTTTATGATGGCAGTAATTAAAGTTTGCGGCCACGAACCGGAAGGAGTCGCGTAGCCTCAAATCGATACCAGATGTATCAGCAATAAATTTGTTATTGATATACAACTTAAGTAACGACTTTAACTGGGGTTTTAGGTAATTATTTAAGGGTATTTTCTTAGGAGAAATTAGCTTTTACTATGTTCAAGTTAATTTTAAGTTAAGCATTTGGGAACTTGTTTTAAAAGCCACTCATATTCTTCAACAAGAAGGAAACTAACTTCGGAAGGTCCAAGATTATATACCTTTGCAATTTGCAATTAAATTACAGGATCGAATCGCTTTCCTTGAATCGATTTTTATAAATCAAAGCATTTATTTCAATTTGGAAAGCTTTTCTATGCTAATTTTTATATGGCTAGCAACGATAATTTTTGAACTTTTTCGTCTGTTGATGCTGATGAAGAATATTTATTGGGTTGGAAATGACTCCTTCACAACGTAACAAGCTTCTAACTAAAATTATAATACTCTTTACAAGATTAAAATAATAAAATATTAAAAAGAACACTGCAAATAAGTTAATCCCTACACTTAATCCCTTTATTATAACTAAAATCGATTTTAATCGACACTCACACATTTACTATTTTAGTAAATAATGAATTGCGGCTTTGACTTCATTATTTAATTATTAATCAGCTTAATAGCTTTCTATTTTCCTAATAATTTCGCAATTTTGTCACTTAAAAACCAACCAACCCACCTTGCCCCACAATTTTAACGCCACCTTATCGTTAGCCCCAACTATAACCATTATTAACGACATAGAGTCAACAAAAAAAAAAACAAAAAATTCGAGTGAGATATTAATAACCTAAAAAAAAACACATTCGTGGTTGACACTTGCCTGGGACATGGGCTGAGTAATAACTATTTAATGAGTTTGTGTCACAGCTCGGCGCTGTAAGGGAGAGCAAAGCTACTTGGCCATGAACCGACTGACTGCCAACTGCCGTCATCGGGAGAACATTTCCATCCACACTGACGACGGCATTTAATTAAAATTTGCGCCTAATTAATTGCCGAAAAGCGGAAGCGCCTGGCAGCCTGGACAGGACATTGGGGAGCAAAGGGAGACAATGCGGCGTATGAGTGATATTTGCCTATTTAGCACGTGCGCCGTTTTGTTTGATTGCCGCTCAGCATTCACACTAATTGAAAATGAAAATTTGATTTTTGGCATTTCTGCGGTCGACCTAGTATAATTTTTCCCGCTTGCATGATTGATTTTTACAGCACAATTTCAACGAATTATTCATGAATTATTATTATTATTATTATTTCACCACCTCTCTCGCTCACTCTCTCACTCTTTGGATCGCCCCGAAAGTATGCAGCATTCTTGTTGCTGTCCGCTTAATTTTTCGGCACGCTGCCATCGTTTTTGCTTTGCATAATTGATGGCTGAGCTTTTAATTGAAACTGAGTTGTGGTTATTACGAGTGTAAGTGGAAAGTCGAACAGGGGGGAGGCGTGTTCGCGTAAAAATTTATGCAAATTAAGACTGCACCGAGGGCGTTCGCAATTAAAGGCAAATTGCAGCATGAAGAGCTGAGAAAAAGAATAAAAGTGCTGCAATTGAAGAGCATTTGAAGGGTGCAAGTGCCGAACCCTGCTTGAGATAGGGAAGAACCAAGGTGTGTCCTTGAAGGAGAGAATGGCTTTTTGGCAAGGATTTCATACTCAATTGAAGGAGAGGTACCTTAATTATTTGGAGAAACTAGAAGGAATTGTAGTAGTGGCAAAGCTTCAAATAGAAGTGGCCAAGGAAGTGGAAGGATAGTTTTCTTATTGAGTTTTACTTATTGAAAAAAATAATCCCTACATATTAAGGAACATAAAATTGTATTTAAAATTTAAAATTAATATTTGTCTTTTTTTGAAGACAAATATTTTGAATGTGAAACATCTCGGCATATTTTAATTTCAAGCTTAAATATTTTGTAATACATTTTTTCAGGTAACAGGCTCTTCTTCAATTTAACAATTTATAACAATTCCAAAGAATTCCATAAATACTTTTGCAAATGATAGCAAATAATGAAGATACTCAATAATTTTGGGAAAACTTGTTGCAAATATAAGCCAAACATTAAAGAGGGAAAGTTTTTAATCTATTCAGAGATTAATTCTTCCCGAAAACATTTCCCTCTTGCTAAAATTTTATTCCTATTTCTAAATCCACATTTTTCCTTTAAAACACATGATTATAAGAGTTAAAAATGAACAGGAATGAATATGTTATTCATATCATTTCCCTGGTGACATATTCCCAACTTTTTTGCACACATCCAAGCACATTCAAACTTATCGCCCCATTCAAAACTCTAAACACAATGATTTATTATGCGAACATCACAAAGTCCTTTCACAGTTTTCTACATATTTGAGCCTTATCTGTTGTATGTGTTCACTTTTCGGGTTGCATGCTCACCTGTTTGGAATTCTAAGGATACATTAAAACTGCCGTTTTGCTGGGGCCTCTCTGTCTCTCTGCCTGTGTGTGTATGAGTAGTTGTAGTGTGTGTTGCTGGTGGTGTGGCGGAGTCCGTGGCCAGTGTTTTGCTTGGAGGCTCCTATTGAATTGATTGCGACAGGACCGGACGCTTGTCCTGTCCGCAACACAGTTGTTGTCCCGCTGCCGCGCTTCCTGCGCCAGTCAGCTGATGCTGCTGCTGTTGCTGCTGCTGTTGCTACTTCTGCTGCTGCTTGTGGCATGCAAAAAGTTTTCCCTTTGAATTAGTTGCCAGCGCCGTTGTCCGCTTGTCCGTCTGTCCGTCCGTCTGTCACTTTATGCGCTTCCTGCCTCTCGATGCCGCCACGTTGTGGCGAGAGTGAAAGTATTTCCTCCTTTGTTGTACTTTATCGTGGTGAGTTCGCGAACAGGACGCTCTCTCCCCACTCTCTCTTTCTCTCAACCCAAGCTCGCTCTCTCTCTCTCGCTGTTAGAAGAGAGCTAAGCCCATTTTCTGGTTGAGTAAATTTTTGAAATATATTTTGCTTGAGATTCTGCAGAGTTATTTCAACACTTTTTAACTTGTATTATTTATCCAAATATATATGGGTATTTTTTGGTTTTTTTTTCGAGATAGAGCTGGGTATTACGGGGAGCTCTATTAGTTTATATCCCGACCGATTATATCCGATTCCGAATTTCGGACTGGCGACTCCGAACAATGCGCTGTCGTACGTGGCGTTGGATTTGACGTTTTGTGTAATTTAACCTTCTGCCCTACTCTTCTCGAATGCGTCATCGGGAGTCGCGTAGAGTTGAGAGTTCTCGCGGAGTCGCTTATATTTATTTGCTTAATATTTTATTTGGCACCCACACTAGTACACATACTAGCACACACTCGCACACACGCACAGAAGCGCGCACGCACGCACATTTTGTTGCACATGTTTTTATTATTTTCGGTTTATTAACCATACGCCATGTTGTACGCGAGCCCAGAAGTGCCTCGGGCCTCGAACAGCGAGTCGAGAGCCTTGGCCAGAAGCCTTCAAGGTTATTATTTCCTTGATGTTTTCCTCGGAAAAGTTCCCCCCGTTGTTGCTGCCTTGCCTCTTTTCTGCTTAATATTTTCCTCTCTTTTTTAATTTTATTTTTTGTTGCTTTCTCTGCTAACAATTTAATGAAGAGGACTTCTTTGAGGCCCTATTTCGGCCTGGTCTTGGCTGTATCTACAGGCCCAGTGCATATTGGCCAAAAAAAATGAGGAAAATTGAAATGAAAACGAAGAAACAGAATGTTGGAGGAGGAAAATCGTTTCACACATTACACACAACAACATGGAAGAGCCAGAGTGGCCCTGTCTCTCTCCTTCTTGCGCCTTAGGCTGCCCATAATTGGCGTTTTTCTTGAACTGGCATTTTCTTGTTTAAAACACTTTATTTGCTGGTTACTTTTGGTTTGGTTTAGTCGGATTAATCTGCGTTTATTTTAATGATTATCTCTTTCTTTTCCACGAAGCGCGATTTGGGCTGCGATTTGTATAATTTGTATTTTTTTTTTTAGTTTCTGCTCCCTCGCTCTTAGCTTCTGTATTTTTCTATTATTTTTCAGCGGAGCTCCGCGTCCTGACCGTTTGGCTCCACTTCTCCGACGACTTTGGGGGCTTCGCTTTCGCAGAGGCCTCGGCCCAAAAGCTTTCCCCGATTTTGTAGGCTTCCACGCAGACACAGAGAGATAGAGAGAGAGAGAGTGAGATAGAGATTGAGAGCGAGCGAGCGCGAAGGCGAGAGCGGAATCCCCGCCGAGACCGACTGGCGACGTCCTGGCGAGCTTTGCACTCTCTGCCTCACAGGGACTACATGTGGAGAAATAATGTATGTTTAATTTTATGAAAATACTGAAGGAGAAATCTTTAAAATATTCAAAACCTAATATTTATGGATTTTTAGTTTTATAATTAATTTATAATCCTTGTAAACTTTGCCAGTTATTTCTTGATACATTTATTATAAAGTGTGATACATTTGAAAGCATTGAATACTTTTTCATTGGTTAATTATTTTTTAAACACATAAATCTAACAATTTTAATACTTAATACTAAAATCTTTTAGTTTATTAATATCTTCACCTTTTTTCACAGTGCACTCTCTCTCTCTCTCTCTCCGATTTCGTATCCTAGGCTTCTCTTGTTGGTATTGCACTCAAAGTTTGCGTTGTTTGGATTTTGTTATTTTAATGTTCACTGAGCAGTCCCTGAGCAGGTGGATGAGCGTGGCAAATCAGGGGTGATGGGGTGTGGGGTGAAGTGGAACTTGAGGGAACTTGTATTCTCAGTCTCGTTTCCCGTGTGCTTTTTGAGGATTTCTTTCGTGTAATTGTTTTCGTTACGTTTGTTACGTTTGTTATGGGCACCAGGTCCACATGCACCTAAAATGTAGACGTAATTGTGCACTTGGAGAATTTTTACCATGCAAGCGATGCAATTTCCTTCGTAAAATTAATAAATATTCATTAATTTTAAGAGTATTTTATTGAAGTATGACTCTTTAGCAAGTTCTAACTAGGGTTTTCTTGTTAGATTTTTGGTTTTAGGTTGATATTTAGGTATTAAATTAAAGATTATATGGTTATTTACTATATATGATAATATTATTATATTTTCCTACACGAATAGTTTACCTTTTGTAATACATTTAGTAAGCATTTTTATATTAGAAAAATTTAAGTAACCTTGAAACCCTAAAACGTTAAAATATTTCCATATTTTATGAGTTACCTTCATGTTATTTCTTATTTTAAAATCAAAGAAAATATTTAAATAAGATAATAACGAAATACAATTGCTTTGTTTCCAATGGATAAATGAGGCTTTCGCCCAATTAAGTATCTGGGTGTAGCCATAAAAGCCATCCAACAAAACCCGCGCCCATCAAAAGCCTCCCCTGAAACCCCGCCACCCGCTCTCTCCCGAAATCCGCCCCCTATTCCCTATCTGCTCGGAAGCTTCTTTCTCACTCTTACCATTTTTCGCAATGAGAGAAAGGCAGCGAAAGCAACTCACTCAATAGTCCGAAAAGCGAATAGAAAGCCCATCCGCTGGGACCCCAAAAAGGACCAGGTAACGGTTGCAGAAAAGCTCTCTCTCTCTCTCGGAGTCCTCTCTTGTGGTATCTCTCTCTCCCACGCAGGAACTCAACACAGCTGGCAAAGGAAACGTCAAAATCGTGTGACAGCCAGCAGCTCTGCGGAGAAGAAGAAGAAGCTGGGAAAGCCAAGTTTATCAGGTAGCAGAGGGTCCTTTACTCGCTCTCTCTCTCTCTCTCTGTGTCTCTGGGGAAGCTGTGCCTGAGCCTGGCTGTTGGTGTGAGTGAGGGCACGACACGTTGTTGCATTCTCGCCTGCCACAGGAAAAGCGCTCAAAAAGAAAGCAACTGAAAATAACGGCTTGATTCCTTTACAGCTTGATGTTTTTATACGCTTGCTTTGAGTTTCCCCTAAAGTTTTCTCGCTTGCGGAAATATATTGCTATATGAAGGGTTTTTTTTATAGTTACACTGAATTGGGAAAATAATTAATCTGAAGTAATTAAATATTTTATTATTAAGATGGGTTTAAAAGCCAAACTAAAGCTATCAATAATAATACACATTCCAAAAAGAGAAATGAACAGGTTCTTGCAATATAACAAATTCCATTGCCTACTTTTAAGGGCATGTTAAATAAATTCGGAATCCCTAGAAATTTCTATGGAACTTGAGTATATAGATTAATGCCTAGGGTATTCAGGACATCGTGCATTGTTTTTCCCACATTTTCCTTTTGTATATTCTTTTTTTTTTGTGGCTGCTTTTTGGTTCGAAGGTTTCGCGTGGTGTCGATGGAAATGTACACGTGCTATGTTCACTGGCATGCTGCTTTGGTCGAGGGAATCGTTAAGGACGAGGGTGTAGTCCTGGGAGGGGAGTAAGCTAGCAGGTTTGAGGCTCTGGAGAAGGCCACAACTAGACTGTCGTCACGATACTAGGGAGGGCATCCCCTCCCTTTTGCCTGGCACTTCCTTTGAGAACTTTCTAATTGAATTTCTTGTTTTGACCTGCAGTTGGTGACCCTGTCTTATCAATTTCACTCGTTAGGGTGAGTGTGAGTGTGTGTGTGTGTGTGTGTGTGTGTGTTTGTGGGTGGAATTATGTCATTCTGGCTGCGTCATTGTGTCTGCTGGAGGCTATTGATTATTCGTTGTCGGTTATGACGAAATGAGTTTGTACGCTAAAAACTACTTTCACCTTCTGCTTTTTTCCCCGCCAACGGTACTATGCAGAGAGAGAAAATGTTCTATTGATTAAGATAAGAGCTTATAAATATGACTTTTAAAATGAGAATATATTTGGTGATTAAATATATATAAAACTAAGGTGCTCTAGGAATTAAACAAATGTCTCTAAATCTACTTAATATAATATTGCTAATATTTAAATCATAATTTTGTATAATTTTTTAAATATTTTAGCACCTCTAGTGATTTCTGAAGAACTTCTTTATATTCTTATTACCTTTTTATAATAATAATATAATATCCTTCCAATTGATAATTGTTATTGTTTCGCTCTGTGTGCTCTTGACTTGCACAACTATGACGTCATTGTTAACCCCGGAGCTTTCACTACAAACTACAACATAGAATCCCCTACAACCGCTTCGCTCCCCCCTTTATCAGCACTCGACTCGACTTTGATGTAGCCAAACACCCAACACCCCCTCCATTTTCCAGTCCTCCCCCCGCACTTGGAGCAGCCTCAACGTCAACGTCAAGTCAACTCATTTCCATTTCCATTTGATGCCTGATGCGGATTTTTCCCCTGGTTTTCCCCTCCCCCTCCCCGCACCAACTACATAGTTTGAGAAAGTTTGTTTTTCGAGAGCTTTTCAAGTCTCTGGGCCCGCTTCCTCGTCTCAATTTGTTGTTTTGGGGCTCTCTGTGGCTTTTATTATTGCGGGCCGAGATTTATTTTTTGTCATTGAAGTGATCTAATTAAAGTTTGTGTGGGCCGAAAAATTATAAGCGCCACTGCTGGCGGGGTTAAAAGGATAACGAAATTTGTTTTCAGCGGAAAGTTTTTTTTTTGTGGGGGAAAGGGTCACACGCTTGTCGGAGGTGCAACTTGTTTTCGCTTTCGTATCCAAACAGCCAAAAAGTTGTTAAAAAGCCAAAAAAGTAATTTATTTCAGTTTTACTGCCTTCATCTCGTTTGTGTCCCTTTAGTGTGTGTGTGTGTGTGTGTGTGTGTGTCGCCAGCCTGCAAATGTAATGAGATGTTTTGACCCGCTAACTTGGTCCTTTCTTCTAACCCCTTTTCCTTTTTAGCCTTGCGGATGCTGATTTGGCTTGAAGCCTTGGCCAAGTTCTCTTTGGCATCGGCTGCTTGATAATCTGATTTTTCCACTTTTCCCTCCGCGCTTCGCATCGAAATGGGTTAAACTTTTGCCGCCGACGACTTGTTGGGGTAAGGGTTAAGTTTCAACATGGCCCAAAACCGGGGCTAATCAAAGTTTCGGAATCAGTTTGGCTGGATTACTAATACCTTTAATGGAATGACAAAAGGGGACTTGTGGGAAGATCGGAACAAAAAGATTTATTTGGGGGTTTTACAAATCCAATCAGGAATAGAAATATTGGAGATTTTTAGTAATTGATAGGGAGTTTAGAAATAATAGGTAACTGTGTAAAAGGGTTTATAATATTATTCTGTTTTATTTTTTATTTAAATAAAAACAACAAACGAAACTAACTTTGGGTAGAAGTTCGCACAAGAATTCTAGAAACGAATTAGTAATCAATCAAAACAAAGCCCAAAATATTTGCATTCTTCGAAATCAAAGCTTAAAAAACTCATAACTAAGCCAAAAAAGCAACTACATACATTTTTAAAATATCAATATTAACATTATCAAATGAAACACTTTTAACATTCTTTTGTTACAATTTATTTGCAGAAGAACACAAACTATCGCATTTTCATTTATTTATTTACAATATTTATCTGTTTTTTTTCGTTTCTTACATCTTTCTTCACTTTAGCATATTTAATATGTATAAATTTAAGCAGATCCTTAATATAGATCGTAAATGTATAATTTGTTTCATTCTCTCGTTACTTTTTCAGTATAGATTACTTACAAAAACTCAAATACAATAATTCTTAACTGGCTAAAGTTATCGATAAAACATTATCTGCTTTTTGTGCACTCATCGGACTTATCGTTAATTGTATATTTTGTATTTTGTATTTTTAATACACGTACAGTGGGTAAAAACATCTATACAAATACGCCTTTGTTGTTTGTTTGTTTTGTTTTGTTTGTGTGTGGAAAATCCTCAAAGTAATGTTCAGATTTAACTTAATATCTGTTTCCAAGATTCAAAATTATTGTACCACATTTAGAATATCAATGGTTGTGTATATCTATATGTATAATATGTACATATACATAAATATATAGTATCTTGAGTGTGTAAATATCAGCAAATATTCCAGTAGAGTCTCTATATAATATATATGTTTTGGGTTGGTTTGGGAGAAATTAGAGATTACAATAATTACTAATTGACGGGTTTGAAATCGAAAGCCATTTATCGAAATAATCGGTACCGCTAATCGAATCATCTCCTTTCTCCGCTCTCTCAATAAATAACTTAACTTAGGTAGAATATTCAACTTTTTGTCATGGACAAGTCGAGCTCTAGCTATATACAATCCTTAATCCTCACTACTCATCCTTACTCCTCGCCCTCGTATCCCAGACACCACAATTGGGACAGAGGCACGGCTATCGACTAGCTGCCAGCCACGCCCTCTTCCTTGCGCGGTCTCAGGATAAAGTTGAGGTTGTAATTCGTGTTGACCGCATAGTAAACATTCGCATTCTTCGGCATGACCAGCTCCTTGTCGGGCAGCACCTGCGCCAGGGTAAATCTATCGGGATCATCCTCCAGACCCAGCTTTAGCATTGCATTGCGTATAACCTGCGGCGTTCGCTCGTTATTACCCAGCATTATGCTCTTGTATAGGACAATCCCATCCAGCTCGATGTTATCCGTCTCGTAGGTGACTCGAATGATGTAGAAATCCGGTGCAGACTGCGGAGTTCCACCCGAAGGCTGCACCAGCTGGGCATTAATGTGTGGTGAGCCACCGTTTGTGCCATTTCCATGCGACTTTAGGCCATTTCCCATCGATTGGGAATGTGTGAGCTTGCCAGACTGCCTGCCACCGGAGTTACTCGAATCCAGCGACAGATTGGACACACTACTCGAGGCGGACATGAGGGAGGCATGCTGATGATGGGCATCCCGGTCAAGGGAGTTGTGCCTGGAACTGGTGCTGCTATTTAACTCACAATAGAACTGCGATCCCGCTCCGCTGCTCGAATTGGAGTGTATGGAGTCAGTCTTCCGGTGTCCCATAATTGAGGCAGTCGAAGAGTTGGTGGTGTTCGTGAGCGATGTATTCGTACTGACCACCGATTTCCTTGGAGCAGGTGGCGGTGGTTCAAGTCGGCAGCTCAACTCGAAGGCTTCACGTTCATCAAAGACCGGCATCGAGTTGAACCAGTGATCGAAGAGTGCATCCGCCTGGAGATTATATGTGTTGGCCGCACCCTGAAGCAGCTTGATCTGCGCCAGAACCTCAAACTCTTTGCGTTTCTTGTCAAAGTTGATCAACTTGTCCTCGGTGAGGTAGTCGGGATTGGCTGTGTGGATCATGGTCAGATCGGTGAGGAAGGTACCCAGATAGGGTATCGTGCCGTGAGAGGTCTGTGTGCCCAGGTTTAGGATGAGCTTTTGAAGATGCCGGTCAGTTTGATCGCTGCCTGGATCTGGATTCTTGGCTGTTCCCTCACGTTTTAGGACCTCTCGCAGAGTCCAGGCATTATTGTCCTCCGAACAAATTCTCGCCAGCTCCGTAAAGACTTCCATCTGCGGGAAAAGATATAAAAAAGGGTTAAGTAAGGCTTGTTATATAAGAAATAATGCCAGACTCACTCTCTCCTTGGGCAGAACCTCCCAGATCTTGGAAAGCCTATAGATGGAATTGGAATTCAAGGCCGAAATGATGGCCTTCAGCGAGCTAAAGTTCTTGAGCATGCGCAGCTCCTGGGCAATGTCAATCCATCGTGAAATGTTTAGAGCGCGCTCCTGCAACATTACAATAAAATTATTTCAATTCTATAAAAGATAAACAAACCACAAACTCACCTGTGGCTTTAGTCGATCTATCAGTATGCTGGACACCACTCGAAAGAGTACGGCATTAAACTGGTTAATGGTGGCCACCACAGTCTCCGAGCCACCGCTATCCCTTCGAGCCCATGTGTGTCCTAAACACTGATGGGGTATCAATCGCTTAAACAGTTCCGTGTCCATGCGGGTCAGCTGCTCGGCAAAATGCCTCACAGGTACGTGGGGAAAGCGGAAAGCCTGCAGGAAATGTGTGGGTCCACGGTAGATGGGCCCATGACCCATGGGCGAGAGATACAGGCCATTGAACTGATCGGTGAGGTCATACGAGGAGCCATAGTGTGTGGGTATCAGGAACTGCTGCACTGGCTGGGATCCAGCAGCCGAAAGCCAAGAGAGGCCATTGCCCTCCAAGGCACCACCACCGCCGCCCCCACCTGTGCCACCATTTCCATAACAAGCCTGTCGAATAAGACGCTCTAGACGATTCAACACCTTGATGTGCAAGTCGGAGCGTTTCAGTCGCTTGTTGGCAAAACCCAGGATCTTTAACGAAACATATTTGATTAATATATGTGATATAAAAACCTATAATCAATTTTAAACCCACCTGTTGCAAGTTGTCCTCATGCCAGTCCTCTGGAAAACCATCTAGCCACACATGCAACGCCGAGACTAGCGTTTTCTTGTGCTGCTCATGGATGGAGGCATGTGGATCATAGGCAGGATCCATGGCCTGACCACTCTCCTGTGCCTGCTCCAGCTCCTCCAGGTGCTTCTCGTGCAGCGCATCATAGCGTTGCGTCAATAGACTAAGCACCTGCTTTGGTGTGGAGAAGGTGCGATATGTGGACAGGAACACATTGATAAATGTCGACTCCAGTTCCCCATCATCGGTGGCCAAAGCCTCCACCAACCGGGCTAAAGTAGCCGCCTTCACAAAGCGCACTCGCACTGTTTCCCACTCCAAATGGGAGATCTCATCATCAGAGTCCTGGAAGAGAAATATATCGAAGTCAAGGCGAGGCAATTTTCAATTTTAAAAAACTGAGCACTTGGCGATGTTATCCCAGCTAAGTAATTGATTATCGGAATTACTTACATTGCTGGCCGTGGGCGTTGGTCGGTGGTAGCGCACCTTCTTCAGGTAGACAGTGAAAATTGCATTTTTCTCGTGCTCTTCGCCCCAAAGGCGCCACGTGGGCTGTAAAATAAGAAAAAACGGAAAGTAGATTAGACAAAGTGAAGGTAAACTAAACTTTCTAAAACTAAAATGTGTTTGTCTTAACTTTGTGTGGAAACTAAAGCCTTAATTCCCCTCCAAATGATGGGAATATCTATTCAACTAGCTTATATATATTTAGTCTCTTAATTAAATCAAATCTTGTTGATATTAAAAAAGAAACATCTCCAAAATGCAATAAATATTTATGGAAAATGGGAAATCTGTGTCAAAGTCAAAGATCATAGCCCATTCAATGGCAATTAAATGTATCATCCATCTAAATTTAGCCACAATATCCGACGTATTTTAAATTTATTTCCCCTTAATACGAGACCAAAAAGAAATTTGTAAAATATTCTCAATATAAACAATATGCCATTCGGATTTTTGTGCAAAATGTGTTTTGTGCACGAAAGACTGTTTGTTTTTGTGGAAATTCGGCTGTCGGGCATTTCCATTTCCATTTCCGTTTCGTGTAGCATCTTTGGCAGTGTTAAGGCCCCCAAAAAAACAGCATTTTTTCTTGTCTAGTCTCGGTATTTTAATTGATACATAAATTCTTTTGCTAATTTGTTGGATCGTACCAGCCGAATATGTTTCAAAATAATGTTCTTAATTGGAAATGAGAAGGGGAACATAAAATTGTGCAAGATAAAATTTATGTAAATGCAAAATCACTTATTAAAAAATGTAAACAGAAACAGAAATTTTCCTTTATACAGAAACTAATTTTGTTACGAAAAAGTTAGTGATTCAACGCCGCAATTTGTTACGAGTTTTAGTCGCACATTTTCCCAAGGCCCCCTTAGCTTTTCCGCATCCCCTCCCGGAAAATGCTTCACATATTTGCGCTTAATCAACGCCAAAAGCATTAAAATTCTAATTAGAAAATCATGCAACCGGCGCTGGGGCTCTCTCTTTACAAAATACCTTTTGTGTTTATGTAAAAACTATGTAAATACCGAAGCGAATACAAACGATGGGCCCACATAAATGCGGTATAAGTGCTTAAATTGAAATTTACTCGGCAGCAATGCCAAAAGCGTGAAAAAAGCATTAAACGAGAGGTGAATGAATAAGCATAAGTTGAATAAACGCTCAGCAGCAAACCACAAAGGGAATGGCACGCAATGAGTTCACATCGGTATAGGTAAGTGTCTGGTACTTGGATTTGTGTCTGCAATTGAATGTGCCCGGGGGGGTGGGCTGGGTGGTGGTGCTGGCTGGCGCCCACCAATAATAAACAGCAGCTAAAAGTTACAACAAAGCCAGGGATTAGGAAAAGTCACTATAAAAAGATTTTTCTGCTTTTGCAGCACAGAGAAAAATTACAGTTCCGATTGCTTATCAAATTTGGAATTGTACTTTTAACTTGTTGAATTTTATCTCTTTGTTGACAAAATGAATTGATTTTTGTTTTAAGAATTTAAATTCTTATGTCTTGGATATATTCTTAAGTTAAATTGTAGCATTATTAAGCTAGTTGCACTTTTAAATGGGGATTTTAAGTTAAGCCTCTTTCCTAGGAGAACCTAGGAAGTTGCCAAAAAGTAGGCTAGGTTTTTTAGGAGATTAAGTATTAAGATCAATTATTGTCGAGGCATACAAATAAAGCATTTTAAATTTATCAATTGATTATAATTCCATATTATCTAAAGACATGTCATATATTTCTTTAATTTGATATCATCGTATTACTATTTTTAATATAATTATCTATTCAATTGTGATAAATAAATAGAAGATCAAAACCCATTATTTGATAATGAAATAATACCATCAACCCAGATTATATTTCTAAAGCCGATTGTGGCATCAATTTTGAATACAAATCCCTTGACAAATAATCTTCTTTACTACTCAGAATTTAAATATTCAAACGAAAAGCTTGATGAACAATTTCCAAGAATAGGAAATCAATTTTATCAGTGTGCCCGGCTAATCATGAATATTTTATTTATTTTATTTTGTGCTCCCTGTAGATAGGGCGACAGCAATAGCAACAAAAAAGAGAACAGCTGACCCCAAATGAGAAACCATCAAGGAATGCGAAAACATAAACACGATTTTATGTTACTGGGTGGGGGAAGTACATACATATAAAAAACGGAGGGCTTAACAACACAACACACACACGGGTACTTGGGGTCATCCATCCTAGACAGACAGAGAGATAGAAAGACAGGCAGACAGACAGGCACGAATCTCATGTTGATCCAATTAATTGCCCGCATGCGCTTTGATTACAGCAAAACAAAAGCGAACCAAATTGCTCAAATGCTTAGTTCACTTCATTAGCGTTTCGTAAATTTTTAAATTAAAGTACTCGGCCGTACTTGCTGTACTTTAATATTTCGTAAAAAACATGAAACACTCTTTTTCCCCTTGGGCCTTAAGTGGCAACAGGCAGGCAGCGATTTGTTTCGTATTTCGTGTAATTGTGCATAAACTTTAGGTCTTTTTTTTTTAGGGTGGGGGAGATGTATTTGGGAAACAGCTGAAACACTTCCAAATGGCCTTGCAAAAATAGAAGACACGATGTGGCAACTGTTAAGGGGCAGACACACCGAGTGTGGCAATCGAGAGATTTTGTTTGCACTTGAAGAAATTTCGATTAAGATGTTGCTCATAGCAGCAAAAGGAAGAAAATTCCCACAATAACAACAGCTGGGAAAACGTTTCTATCTTGCTTTCTTCTCATTTGTTTTAAAAACAGCTTCCTGCTAAGAGAGAAAACAAAATCAATATAAATAAGCAAGAAAATTTGCAATTGTTTTTATCTAATGTGTGTAGCATGCTTCACCCTAATTGCCGCTTTCTGTTTTTATTTAATTATTTTTTTCGGCTGGCTGATTTACACACACTTCCCCTTTTTTGCCAATTGTTATATACAGATATATATGTTTTATATACATATACATACTATATGGTACATATACAATGTGAAGGCAACATTTAATCAATTCCAATTCACGATCATCGGCGCCCGGCAGCGACTTTTTCTTAGCGGCATCTGCCAAAAAAAAAAAATACAACTTTTTCCGCCGTTCTTGATTCGTTTTGCGGAATGTACATACGTACATATCAAGTATACGTATTTATTTAATTTATTTGTTATTTATTTGGCATTTTTTTGTTATTCTGTCTTGGTTAAACACTGATGCCTTGTACGATCTGTTCACTTGCCTTTTTGTTGTTTAATTAATGACGCATTATGGCAGCTCAGTTCGATTCTCCATTTGCGTCAAAAGTGAAGGAAATACTACTATTTGCTACTTAAGAAATGATTTACAGGCATAATCCACGATGCTAAATCAAGTATAAATGGACATTGATTTATGGGATTGCAAGTGGACATTTAAACAGAGTCATTGCTCCAGAAATCTCCTGAAAAAAGGCAGAAAATTGTACCAAGAACATCCACTTTATAATAATAATACAAATAATTACTTAAACATCATAAAAATGGGATGTCTTTCAGAGTAAGGTTTAATTTTCTTCCTAAATCTTACAGAAATTATGCAAAATGTAGATCTACATTTCGATTATATTTAAATTCTCAAAGACATTCAATTCTTTCTCAATGACAGATGGCAATTTAGCTACTAATTAGTAGTCTATTGCCTTACCTCAGTCCCCAGATTCTTGCATGCAACTCAAGTAATTAATTAGTGTCAATTAGACAATCAATTGGGTAAACATAATTAAACCGGATGTGACTCAGGCTAGCCGCCACACACACACGCACCAAACAAAGCTAAATAACAAGTGCAAAATATATAAATGGGAGAAAATAGCAAACATTTTAGGAAATCGAAATGTTCACTTTATTGCGTTTCTTTAAATGAAATAAATAGTCATAAAATGGCAATGTTTGGGCACTTTGATTGGCTTTCAATTAATCTTATTTCAGATACATTAATTTAGAAGCAACTGAATTACTTAATGTTTTTGGGGAAGAAGGTATGGAAACCACTTTTGAAGCAAATAAAATGATGTATTTTGGATTAATTCAATAATGCGGGATATAGATGATAAATAAATCAGTTTTAGATATAATTCTACAATAAAAAGAATGTAATTAAGCTGAGAATAGAGTTAAATAACTCACTACAAAACTCTCGTGGAAACAATTTACCTTTGTGTAGGTATAGTTCTTGGCATGCAGATCCTTGGTCTTCTTGGAGAGATTCCTTAACGTGGCTCCAGTGCAGGCACACAGGTACTTTAAACTGGCCACCACCTTCCTTTCGGCACTGAGAACCGCCGAGGAGACATCCAGATCATCATAGGAGTGATAAGAACTATTCCGTCGTGGCTTGGCAGAGGCAGAGCGGGATCTCCGCTGCTGCTGAGGTTGTGGACACATTTCCAAGGGCGGCAGGGGAGTGGAGGACTTTTTCCGCTGCCTGGGACAGGTGTGATGATGGTAATGCTTCTTCAAGTCCTCCGGCTGCTCCTTCTGCTGATGGTAGGCACAGGAGTGACTGGAGGTATTATTGTTCACCTGTCGCCAGGCACTGCTAAAGTCCGTATTGTCCAGCGGTGGCATTAGGGCACGATTATAGCCACTGAGATCCTGGAGCTGATAAGCACAGGTGTGACTCTTGATAAGAGTGGACTTCTGCGGCTGATGCTTCTGGCTATGAGGGCATTTACAGTTGGCGCGACTTGTGAAATTCTGCAAGTTTTTGTTTTCGGTTAAAAAACACCAGTTTTTTTCTCCTCCTTCTCCTAAATGGGGACTTTGCTTTGTACTTGATCTTGGTCGCAATGGGCTTGAGGTTCATTGATTTGACGAGAGAGAGAGAGAGAGACGACCCTCAACCCACTTGAGCTGTCGTCTCAGTTCGTTCACAGAGCCCCTGACCTTGGCTACAATTTGACTCCAAAACGCACACACGCACCACAATCCACTCGCATTGTTTCAGCTGTATTTGATGTTTATGAGCTACCCAAAACACTGACAACAACAACAGCAATAGAAAATAACCAAAAATAGAAACAAACAAAAAAAAAACAATCAAACAACCCGGCAGGCAAAACATACAAAAAAGTGAATTTTTTTGACAAGCAACTTTTGTATCTATGTACTTCAAGTGGCGCTCACTCATCTCCTCCAAATATGGCTAAAATACAAAAACCCCTGGAGCTACAATTTATGGCTTGACTTGAGGCCCAACAATTTCACATTGTGCTAGGCAAGATATCGTAGCTGTTTTTCATCCCGTAAACAACATATCAAGTACGCTCATCCCATACAAGATGCGTTCAACTTTTACCAGGAAGTTATTATAGTTGTTGATGTTGTTTTTGGGGCCATAGTATTTCACGCCTATTGGCAGCTGCGCACAGGTTTTTGCCAGGGAAATATCCAGCAAAAGATACTCTAACAAAGGATCAAACTGACAAAGACATGCAACGGGAAGTTTACAAAAATAAACCACAAAAGAGCTAACAAAATATCATGGCCTTTGTTTCATTTAGAGTATTGAGTCTTTAAGCAAAGGAAACATCATGTTATCAATATCAAAACAAAGTACAATCAAAATGCCACCATAAATTAAAATCTTGTAGTAATATACCCTTAAAATCTCTATTTCCTCAGAAGAGCATTTCTATTTCGACTATTTTCGAAATGAAACCTAAAAACTATTCAATATTTTTGCCTAGATAAATATTTTCTTGTCTCTATTTGTGGTGGAAACTGCGTTGTGCTTTCCTTTTTCTCCAGCAGTTTTATGGCATTTTTCCATCCATCTCTATCTCTCTCTGTGTTTCGGCCCAGCCCATTTCATGTTGAGTTTTAGCCATAAATTCAGGCCAACTTCAGGCCATTTGGCATCTTTGCCCAACCTGGCTCCATGGCCAATTACATAACTTGTTTCTGCCCAGTTTCGTGTGAAGAGAAATGTCATTTCGGTCTTGGGTAGGTCTTTGAGACAGTTAATCTCGTCTTGGAAATTAATCGTAGAGAGGTCAGCACACTGGGTCATGCGTGAGGATTGGAAGGGGGGAAAAAAAGGTCAGACCTGGAACGTGCCTCGCGTGGCCAAGTGTATCAAATTGTGGATATTGATGCCTTGAAATTAAATTACCAAGAAATGCAACGAAGGTCGTTCAATCAAATACGCTATACCACAAATTAAATCGAGCGCAATCAAATAAAACCAATATTATATATATTCCGAAATGAGGGAAAAATCGGTCCGTAATACAGGCACGTTCCATCTAAAAGGCGTCATGCATCCTCCTTGGAGAGAAAAGTCTGGGATTCTGATTTCCACAAGGCAAAAGGTCATAAATTAGATGCAATCTGAACAAAGCTCCTAAGAGCATGAATTTCTTTTGTGGATTGTGCTTACACATATTTAAGATACATTCCACGCGGAAAAATCATTTTAAGCCGGAAAATGTACATGTAAATAGTTATCTTTTGGGTTAAAGTTAAGGAAAACTTGAGTATCTATTGACTTTACTATATGGTTCTATAATTTTCCTATTCAATCCTAAGTAACTTCATAAATCGATTAGTAATGCTCTCAATACAATAACCACATTCACCCTGAAGATTGCACATAAATTATCATGAAATATTCCACTCACCCTGAACTTAAAGCGATAAGAGATTATGCTGTCCCATTTCGCAAATGTAAAACAAAGCTTCTTTGAATCGAACCTCAAACTGATTAGAATGAATCCTTCGAATACAGCAAAACCTAGATTTGCTTTGTCTAAAGCTACCTTCGAGTCTAATCAATATGCACATATATTGCACTCGATTTGTACCAAGCCCCCGCACTCATTTCATTCACGTTTATTATTACAACGATTGCCAAACGAGACACGAACAGAAGCAGAAACAGAACCCGACTCTGGGAGGAATTGAAATTTGCATGACTGAGTTTACAAAACGAGTTCGAATGATTCATCAGAAAATACCCGGCACAAGCATAACGGCTGCCGAAACAGAGCGCATTATAAGTGATGAAATATTATATTATATTTATAATTATAATGACCAATTGTCAAACATTTTCGTGTTTGTATATACAAACGCCTCAATTATAAAGAAATAACAGGCGAAGTATGATGATGAGCCGTCTAATTGGGAGCGGCCCCCACATCATCTGTCTATATATAGAGCAGGTGACCTTTCCTCCAGAAAATCGCGTGGGTGTCGGAGACTCTCTGTATTCCAGCCACGATGGGGGGCTTTTCTCAATTACAGATCTTGGCAAAAATAGCCCAAAAGTCAAAACAAAAGGAGAGTCGAACGAACACAACTAAAACAATAACAGCAAAACATCAAAGCGGATGGCCAGAGGTTTTTGCATTTACAATTTGGGGTGGAAATATGCTTCTTTTGGGCAGAGGAAAACAATTGTGGTTAAAATAATAATACTAATCATAATGGGTAATAAATATTTACTTTAAATAAAGTATTTCTTGGGAAGTTTATGAATATTTCATAGCTTAAGAAGTTTTTTATACTACTATACATTTGTTTTGTTATATTTTCTTGAATTTAAATGTCTTGTAAGCTACAGATATGCATATTTTAATACTTATCAGTTGGAATAAAATATAGTAAACATTTTTTACAAGCATTATCATTATTTTACCCTCAACTGTAGACACATCTAGCTATTTTTATACCGGCAACCCCTGGCACGAGTTTGTGAATTGCAGCAGCAGGAAACAAAAAAAAAAGCAAGAAACACAGAAAAACATTGCAAAAACCAAATTGAAAAACGCCAAAGAAAAAAAGAGACTGAAACTAAACACCACTCTGCCACGCAGTCATCTCTGATGTGACTGACTGACTGACTAAATGACTCTGACTGACTGTCAGTTACATGTGACTGCATCCGACGCAGTCAGCTTGACAACATTTTTGTTGCTCCCCCCAATTACACTGGAAGAAATATTGGGTTCTTTTTAGGAACAAAAAAATAATATATTAAGGGACTAGCATGACCTTTATACTCTCTACCAGAGTTTGATTTATGTAGCTTGTAAAGGGAAGAATATTTTTATAAAAGTGTAGCCTGCCTAAGCTCCTTTTCTGTACAATTTTATACCATTACTATTCCTAGATTTTATTTAATATTTTCTCATGATAAATATACAGCAATATCCTACAAAAAATCAAGGTATTGTTAAGCTAGATTTATTTATTTTCTGTGTACCAATCTTTATCGCTCTCCCTCTCTTTGAGCTATTATCAAACCACATCCGTTGGGGCAGCAGCAGCAGCAGCAGCAGAAATGATGTACAAACAATACAAAATATATCAACTTGAACTAAAGCTTGAGCCAGTGAGCAGCATAGCTCTCCACGTAAATTATTTTTTATGCATTCCCCAACTATTCATCATTCATTCACTCTCCTCGGAGGAAGAGGCGGAGCCTTTGTTTTGCATACAATGGGCGCGGGTAATTGTTTTTGGTGGGGATTCTCCACATAAATGGATGACACACAAAAAAACAAAAGCAGCAATTTGAATGATATATGGCCAGATTTCCAATTACAAAATAATGTCATTTACAAATTATAAATTGGGTTTCTAGATAAATGCAATTCCTTTTTAAGGAAGATACTATAAACATTCCATGCAGACTATTTCCAACTTATGATTCATTCGTATAATACTTATGAGTATTTACCCAAAATATTATTGTTATTTATTTGGATAAAAGAAAACCCCCCAAATAACTGCCTGGTCATGATTATTTCATCTATATTTATCAGAAAACTTTCATTAAAGTTTGATTAGCATTCACGACTTTTATCGATTCTTTAATCCTTTCCCCTACTCGAGTTTTATTTCTGGACTCCACCAAGGCGTAAAGTTTCCAGGCCATTGGTTTTTATCCGTAAACCTTGTTGACATTTCTTGCGATTTGACACCAAGACTTATTACTACAGTCATCACTCGTCAAACAGGACCAGATCAAGTACAAAGCGATTCACCATTATTCAAGGGCTGAGACAACTTTTGGGCAAACAAAAGGTTCGAGATATATGTTCATTGTAGGTGATATTATCGATGTAGTTGACTTAAAGTCGTCATATGTACATAAATAAATATGTATATAGGTATAAAATGTAAATATAACAACGATAAATCACCTACAAGTTGTGGTTAGCCTTTTTGATACTCTTACAGTGATTGTTCAGATTTAATAACTTTATATGTAAATAGGAGGACTTCAATCACAGCATTTTTTCTTTTAAAGATCTATTATTGATTGATATAATGATTCTTTATAAAGCTTTTAAATTTATTAAATCTTTTCTTAGAAGCCACTGTAAGGGCTTTCACAAAACCCACTCGATCTCTCTCCTTGTTATCATCCCTGATAATTTACACCGGGGGCTTTACCATTTGAGATTGGCTTTTGTTTCTTGAGAAATATTGTTGAGATTTTCGCTGATGCTGCTATCCTCTTTGTTGCTCCTTTATTTAACACGTCTCCTTTTAATGTGTGTTGTGATGCTTTTCCTTCAGTTTTTCCGCCCAAGTGCAGTTCATTGAAGTGGGCGGTGGGCAGGGTAGAGTGAGTGAGTGTGTGTAAGGGCGAGTAAAATCGATATTCCTGCTGCTCTTTTTCTATGGCCGCCTGTCCGCCAGTTCGGTTCAGCTTCTTCCTGGCCCAGAGGATGAGTCAGGAGGCTTGGTGGGGTGGTGGTTACTACTGGCTCACCGTTTACTTGGTAAGCGGTGAGTCCTTGGTCCGCGAAGGGAAAGTAAGGGTTCGTTGCACTACGCTCAATATATAGTCTGCGTTTCGGTCTCCTTACACTGGATTACACTTTACACCGCCTTCCTCACTATTTTTTTTCACCTTTTATCGCTTTTATCGCTTTTTCCGTTTTTCCTCTTGTTTCTCTTTGTTATTGTTGCTTCCGAGGCGATGCCTGCACTCGCACAAACACCAAATTTCGGGATCCCGCGTGCATTTTCATTTGCTGTGATGAAAATCTCAACTTGGGATAATACATCCATGTAATTTACAAAAACATTGTACAAAAATTCACAATTGGGGGTTTCTCGAGTTATTCGCGCGGCTGGTGGCCCGCAGAGGGGGAGTGTAAGGGGGTAGTAAGACGCGCGCGAGACACACACACACACAGATGGAGAGAAAAAAGCTCGAGAAACGCGACACAACCACCGCCGACGACGGTCGAAAGCACTTTGCCTGCCGTACCAGCCTGCCCTCGTTCGGCACTTAGAACACACACGACACCGAGCACTATGGGGCGAATAACCTTTTGTGACATTAATTATTCACTTTAGAACCAAATTATATTTTTAGTTCTTTAAGATATTCTAAGAAAAATGGTCGCACTCGAACCATATTTTTAGGGTTTTATTACTTTCTCAGTATAAATAATGAATTTATTAAGGTACTAATCATATTTTTTGTCCAAGCAAAGTGGTTGTTCGTCCCATAGTACAGTGGCGCTCGGCCCCACTTGCGCTCTCTCTCTCTCTCTCTCAGAACGTTGGCTGACAGGGCTGCTTCGACGGTAGCATCCCCCAGGTTTGACGAGCTGCTCCAAGCAGACGCTCTCTTAATTACACACTCTCTCTCTCTCACTCTCTAGTTGTTCTCAGGTATTCTCAGGTTTAGGATCGTGGGAATTTCTAGCACCCACTATGGATTTGATACCCCGTAATTTATGATTAATTCAACATAGGGAGGTCGAGAAACATTTTAACTTAAATCGTACATTTAAGTTTTGATAACTTAGCAATTTGGGTACTGATAAAGATCAAATTTAAATAAAAGGTAATTAAAAACCAGAACAATTGTAAGCTTTACAATTTAATTTTATAAAGTGTTTCCTATTTATCTTCGATTCAAAGAATAATACATAACTTTAGGGTGCTCGAAAACAACTTTTATTATAAATCTCCTTTTTAAACAGAACAAATTTAAGAGCATTTAAAGGCCTCAAATAGTTTGTTAAATAGCAGGAAAGGATTTTAAAGTATCTTTATAATAAGATTGTACCCAAAATGTTTCAAAATAAATAAATATTACATGTAATCAATTAATTATGGAATCAAGCAACACAAAACAGAGTAACCCCCAAGTCGAGCCACTAATTCATAGCTTATTTCACTCGGTACAAATGTTCTCGCTCTGTTTATGTTTTTCTGATGAGCAACTGCGTTGTTTGTTGAATTCTCATCAGAACTCTCTCTCTCAGCGGCTCTTGCTCCCCAATTATTCAGTATATTTTCGGTATTATTTTCGGACAACTTCACACTGACCCCCCCAAACAATGGACATTTGTTTTCATTATCTTCACGCATTTATCAATGGAATTTATGAGATTCCCCAGTAAAACTTTAAGACCCGGTGCCGTGCTTTTCCAAATTTTTGATTAATGCCAGAGAAAAATTTAAATATTTATCTTTTTAGGAGGGAAGCCTATCGCCGGGCCAAACATGTGAACTGAAATGAAATAATTATGCAAATTGGGATACCTGAATACCGTCTGGTATTTTGTTATTTGGTAACGACTTGAAAGAAAGCTGGCACGGAAATCAATAAGCGAAAATATTAATAAAACGTGCATTTACGTAAGAGCCAATCAAATGTTGTCTGAGGCTTTTGTTTGCCGTTGAACAAACATTGGACCCCAAAAGCAAGTCAATTGATCAATTAACGCAAATGCAACAAGTCTGAAGACTAAGGGTGCTGCCTGATAAGGCCATGTGGGTTCGATATGGAAATTGATAAGTGTTATGCATATAGTGATGTTGATGATGTTGGATAACACAAAAACATAGGAAGTTATTAATTTAGAGAAATGTTTACAAATGAAATTTTTGTATGTTATGAATAATTTATGTATGAACAAGTGCACTTGGGTATCACAACATATCTTAACTGAACGAGAATATTGCATTCTTCTTGATGCTGATAATATCAATAAGATAATCATACTTATCACAGTTTTTTTTATCTCTGACTACACTTGAAAGTATATTTATACTGGAAAATTATTCAAGTACATTTTCCTTTAATACGTTAATATTATAATATCGTAATAGAAGGTAGATAATACTTGAATTAAAAGATAGATTCATAAATGAAGCCCAAAAATATGAAATAAATCAAAATAAGATAAGTTATCTATAAATAATAATTCCTAAATAATCCTTTAATCATTTTCGATTTCAAGCTTAAATGAAAAATACAAACTGATAGCTTATTCAGGTCATAAATTTTGATTCATGGTAATTCGGTCTACACAAATATTTAACCAAGCAATTAGCGGTCTTGGCCAAAAATAAAACAAGCTACCACACAAAGTTCGGACCCTGCGAGATACTTTCAAAATGACTTTCTATGCATTTTCCCCCGTTACTTTCTACGCTGGCTATATCCGTATAGACTTATGTATATGTATATAGTATCTACAAGTTAATGGTTTAGCTACTCACCAAACTATCGGCCACATTTTGACTCATTATACACCGCAACGTTGACGATGATGGCCAGATGCTGCAATTACTTGGAGGTGCGTGCTGCTCGTACTCGGACACAGATGCGATGCAATTGCTGATGATGATGATGACTGGTGGTATCTCTCGGATACGGGCATTTTGGCCTGGTCACAGCTAACGACAACGAACGGAGGGGAGACTCGAATAGACCCACACACACTCACTCACTCACTCGGACACGTGCAGCGCGGCTCACTTGTTTTATTTATTTCTCTTTTTGGGTTGTGCAATTCGGCCGACAAGCGGATGTATCTGCGAGATACGCGACCAAACTTGCAATCGTATCGACACCAATTTCAAGTTTTCTTTTCCATTTCGTTACCGAACTGTAAGAAAGCGACAAAAATGTTCAGGTGAAAACCATTTCAGCTCAATGGAAAGTGCGACAGCAGTCAATAAAAGTCCAAAAACAGAAAAAAATATAGAGCTAACTAAACCGAACCGAACCGAAGCGAGTTGCGCACATTGTTGGCATTCCAGAGGCTTAGAAGCCAAGACCAAGCCGGAGACCGAGAGACCGAGAGCCATCAACTGGCGAGCAACAACTAACCCGGTGTGGAGCACCATGGCTACTGGGGTAGGAAAGATAAAAAATGAATGCGGTTTGAACGTGGCGCGCAACTGATTTACGATATTCGTCAGCGATATGGCATAGCGACAGTGGGTTGCGTTGCATTAACTTGAGGTAAATTTATAAGAGCATGTTGAGCTTAAAGAGTGAGATAGATAGAGAGGGGGAGAGAGAGAGAGAGAATGCAACTAAGGGAGAGGCTCTATACAAATAAATATATTAACATATATATCCATATATGTAGTCAGAAATACTTGTAAATTTCTGAAGTTTTTAATAAGTATTTCTGATAAAATTATACAATTATTAGAAAATTTTCTTATAATATTTCTACTGTAATAGCGTTTATCGAATTGCTTTATAAAGACCTATAGAAAATATATATATGAAACAGGGTCACATCATTTAAAGTATTATTTAAGCAATATAATATAAACCCTTTTATTTTATTCAAGCTTAAAACGGTCTAATATCTTTTTTTAAAACACCTGATCTGTCTAACATTAACTAGATTCCTCCCGAATCTATATAATGGGTTTTTATTTAGTACATATTATGTTATTACTAAATTTACCATTTCTTCTTGAGCTTTGAACCGACTTTTAACTTAAATAATGTTTTTAATATTTTGATTTGCCCATTAAAAAGGGTAGAACACCCCTCTTCTACACGCCCCACTGTGGTGATCTATGCAAATGACAGCCACTGCAAAGTTGACAGCACCTAATGATGGATTTCTTTTTTACGATCCGTAATAGCTGTTACCCCTAAGACTAGTACAAAAGATAGCAACTTTGCCACGAAATATGTATTTAAGAAATGCAAAACAAAACGTTAATGAAAGTTTTTTCTTTGGCATTGTTTTTGCTTAGTTTATGGCTCTACCTGGGCTCACATTCGATCGCTAACTTGGTATATGTATGGGTTCTGCATAGCCCGCTTGGACACACATGAAAAAATGCGGAAAATGTTTGGACAGACAAATATACCTGGGCCACAAAGCAAAGAAAGAAAACAAAACAAAAAACGAAGAACAGGTAGACGAATATCGTTGGTATTTAGAGGCTTGCCAAACGCGCAGAGAGAATTCGGAGAATTATGGAGAATCTGTGAATGAGAGTCATTCAGAGAAAATGAGAGGGCTGAAAAGAGCACATGGTGGTCAATCAGGTGTTTTGGAGTTTAAAAAATGAGTGCCAAGCGAATATCGTAAATTGAGTTCAATCAATTTCTGAAAGATTTACGATCAAATTAAAGAAGATTTGTATACAAAAATATTCTAAACTTAACTCCTTAAATTCTCATTTGGCTCAAACGATAATTTTATCATTAATATATACGTTTTTCAAGAGGCATCATTAATAAACTTAAAGTAGAAATACATCTTCATTCAAAGCGAGTTAAAAATTCATATTTAAGTGTCATTAGGGACAGGTTTGTTTGGCCAAACACAAAACAAAACTTGAACAATCATCAACCTTGATTACCTTGAGCTTCAAGTGACCCTTTTCAAAGCCTCAGCTTAAGCAGATGAGACACACAGAAAGAATTGTATTTTTAAGCACAATGAATATTAAATTATGCATATTAAAATAAACTTCTTTAATAAGGAACCAAATAAATACAAAAGTATTTATTGAAGTGGCAAAAACATTTCAAAAACTAATATAACGTTATATTAAATGAATAAGCTTGGCTTTTGAGGATAGAATTTATAGAAACCTGATAGAGAGAAATTATTAAGTATTGGAATAGTTAAGCGATAAACTAAACAAGGATTTCAATATTATTATTCATAAGCTGTTAAAACAATTACTGCTCTCATTTAATATAGCAAAATTGCATTATTATTTTTTGCTGTGCATCTTTAGGCTTAATGCCCAGCTGAGCTGAGTTCTTAATTATAAGCTGGCGGACCCCTATCCCTCTTTATATAGTCTCAGCCCTAACTTAGTTAGTGTCTCCCCCTAGCTAGTTCTAAGAACTATAAAACATCATCAATTCATTAGCATTTTTAAACAAGATTTAAACAAAAGTTAAAACAAGCTGCTCGACGTCAGCGGTTCTCTCGCGCTCTCTCTTTTCTTTTTTTTTTTTGTTCTGTCAGCTTCTGGGGCGAGCTTTTTGCGAAATTTGTGTCTGTTTTTTGTTCGAATAGCGTTTTTTTGTGTTCTTTTATTATTTGTTGTTGCTTACACCTCCACACAGCTGAGCTGAGTTCCATAAACGATATTAAAATATCTGTATATATGTCCCGATGATATATGGACTACTCATTGTTGCTGCCATATTTACAAATTGGCATTAATTTTTTGGCCTGGCTTAAAACTTTAGTTGGTTCTCTCACTCTCTTTCAACCGCCTGTTGCTCTCTTTTCCTGTTTTCTCTCTGACTCTCTCTCTTGCAATCATGATCTCACTCAGTTTTTTGCTTTACGATATCAAATTGCTTTATTAGCCAAAAAATAATAATAAACGAACAGAAAAGGCCAAAACGGAGTCGTTGTTAAAATCTTTTTATATTCTTAGTTTTTTTGGGGTTTTTGTTTTTGCTCTGCTATTTATTGTTCGATTCCATTTCAGTGATTTCTTCTTTGTCACTTTAACACTCGTTTCGGACGTGTTTTTCGGTGGTAACACGCAAGCAGCTCTATAAATTGCCAACTTTTTGATACCAATTTATCTTTAGTTTTGATTTTTAGCTGCCGTTTTTTTTTATTATGTTGTGGAAAATTCCGTTCAATAAACATGAGTTTAATGGAGATAATTTTATATTAACTAACTTTATTATTGTAAGATTTGGAAAAGAAGATTGTTAATGATTTTTTGAAGGATATATTTTTTAATATTTTAATATATTCTTGAAGTAAAGTTATTTGTGGTCTAGTTATGATTTTGATTTAGTTTTAGGCCTTATTTTGTTGATTTATTTGTATAAAATTGATTAAATTGATTGAATTCAGTTAAGTTTTAATATGTTAACCTTTATCTTTGAACATTTAATATATTAACATATTAAGAACAGCTTTTTGCACATTTTTTACACCGATTTCTATTTGTTAACTCCCGTTGTATTCGTCTTGACAACTTCACAATTTTCTAGTTATTTTTTATACATTTTTTTTTTTTTTGCAAGCGTCTCTCTTGGGCCAACAACTCAAAAAAAAAACACGTTGCAATTGGCAACTGGTTTACAGCTATGCAACGGCAAACACGCACACACTCGCGGTTCATACATCTATATGTACACACACCTGTGAGCGCCTAGGTAGACACACCAACACCAAAGCAAACAAATGTTGCAGGTGTGTAAATGCCAATTTTTTTCGGTTTTGTTTCGTGGAGTTTATCTCTTCACTGGTGCAATATATATTATTAACTTTTTTTTTTGTTACCACTTTCGCCTCTATATATATATAGTATTTTTCGTGTAATTTGCGCAATTAATTGTAATTATTTGATTGGGCATTTTCGATAGGGAATACCTTTTAGATTTTTCATGCTGCTGAATGATGTTGACTGATGGTTGTTGTTGCCACTTTTGTGCACCTTTTTTTCACACACAAACTCGAAACAGAAAATGCCATTAATGATACTACAACGATGTGATTGTTGGTGTTGTTGTTGTTGTTATTGTTGTCTTGAGCACTTTGAAATTTTCGTTACGCTTTGGCAGACATTACGAGCCACGCTCCGCATCCGTCGACCTCCTCTATCCGCATCCGTAATCCGCACTCTGCGCGCCCTCTACGATATACGCTATATTGGCTATATTGTTGTTGTTGTTGTTGTTGTTCTTGTTGGTGGGATTTGGGATCGGAAATCGGAAGACCCGGGACGAAACTCGTCTATCTTTGGTTACACGTAGTTTGCGACTGATGTGAGCGAAACTCACAACTGAAGCTGGTTTCCAACGTCACAGCGGCGTCTTCTGGCCAGGCCAAAACCGAGAGAAAGAGAGAGAGAGAGAATTGAGCGGGAGAGAGAGAGGGAGAGCGGAAAAAGAGATAATGCCAGAGCTGAGATTTTACTTTTTACCAAACAATATTTAGCTTTGGTAGCAACAATCTGGCGAATATCGTAAACGAACGCAGCGAAAGATACGGTTATGGTAGCTAGACAACTAAATGTAATAAATCAGTGATAAAAATTAAGAAATGTCTAAGATTACGTACTTGTGATCACTTAGTATTGTCATACATATTTTTGGACTATTTAAAATTAGAAAAAACGCTTAAATAACTCGTGCCTCGACCACTGAATACCCGTTCCTTGCATCCTTTAGGAGGCCTCTCGTTATACCCTTGCAAGGGTTTTATAATTTTAGTACTAAGGAATCATTTCCGACCTTATAAATCATATATATTCTTGATTAGCATCAAAAGCCGAGTCAATCTAGTTGTAATTAAATTTACAACAATCCGAAAAGGTATATAAACTTGGGCTTTCTTTCTTTCAGGTTTAAAATTAATATGTTGCTTGTATTTCAAATCAAACTAAGCTCAATTTTGCAATAAATTAATTAATAAATAAATAACATGTACTCCCAAAATAAATATATAAAAAAACTCACAACAATTCGCATTTAAAATCTGATTTTAAAGCTTGCTTAGCTATTAAATTCCCCTATTCTCCAAAACAAATTTAACCTAACCCTATAATTGATTAACCATTAAGTAGTCCAAATATTGATTTAAGAAAAATAACTATTATTTATTTAAGAAAATATGTATATTTACAGTCAGTGCTTACTTTTCTTTTTCTTCGTCTTGTGCTTGGAGCGATCGCTCTTTTTCGACTTTTTCTTGGTTTTCAGTTTTGATTTCTTGGACTTTTTCGATGATGAGTTCTTGTGTGATTTCTTAGCTTTGCTGGATTTGGATCTCTTTGCCTTGCTGACCGGGGAGGAGTCGGAGGAAGACGAGGAGGAATCATCACTGGTACTATCTTCGCTGTCCTCACTGCTGGATACCACCTTTTTCTCCACCCACTTCTCAGCTTTTCGTTTTTTGGGAGCATGTTGCTGCCAAAGCTGCTGCAGTTTGGCATCTATACTGGCCTCCGCCTGATCCTCTGGTGCTAACGATGGCCTTTGAGGCACTGCTCCTGGCAGTTTTGGACCGTACACATCCTCGGGCGGGACTTCAGCCATGGCCAATTCCTTGTCATTTCTCAAACGCTCCTCACGGGATTTGTATGAGATTTTTAACTTGTTCCCCTCAATGGGAGCAAACTTGGGTGGTTGTGGTGGTGCCTCCTTGGAAGCCTGCTCATCAGGTGGCTTGAATAGAGCCGCAAAGATCCCTCTGGGTGGTGAAGTGTTCCTCAGCACATTGACCGCTGCTGCTGAAGTGGACGCACTGGAGGGCAGACCCAAAGCCTCCTGCAGGGCAGCCAGCTTATCCTGGACTGTATTCGTTGGAGCTTCTTTAACCTCTTCTTCCTCTTCATCGCTGTCATCGAAGATGCTTTTGAAGAGATCAACCTTCTCCGAAATGGGTTTGTTTCGCGACTCGTCCACAGCCTGTTCCAACGGTGTTTTGGGCACAAAAGTGGACTTGACTGGCTCCGTCTCCTTTTGTGGAGGTTTCTCCTGTTCAAGGACTGGAGGAGCAGGAGCAGAAGCCGCAGTGGGAGCTGGTGGCTCCACTTCCTTTGGCTTCGGTTTCTCTATATGCTTTGGTATAATTGTGGGAGTTTGGAAATTGGACTTGGTATTAACAGAAGTCTCAAGGTAATCAAAAACTGATATCTTGGGCTTCGCTTTGAGCTCCTTTTCCGGTTCCAGCATGGCGCCACCAAAGGGTTCTGCAATATTGTACCGCTTACAGAGCAGCGAAGCTGGTTTCCACATGGTTTTAGTTCGCTCCATCACAACCTTTCGCTCTTCAGGGGCTTTCTGCTGCTCCTTGACCTGCTCGGCCTGGACAGTGGCCTCGGAAACAAATCGATCGTTCATAAGGCCATCCAAAGGTCGATATATCTTGGCTGCCTGAATGAATTCCTTCTTTTCCATCTCGCGATCCCACTGGGAGAGTGTTACAGGTTGCAGGTTGGCCAAGAAGTCAGTTATAGCTGCGTCGTCTTTTAAGTTGGAGGCCACAAACTTTTCATAACGCAGCTGCTTGGCCTCATCCGCCAGGAAGGGCTTGAAGGTGCCGGAGGATGATGATTGCCCAAGTAAATCCTTGGTCTTCAGAGCTGCTTTCTCCTGTATGACGGCATTGGTTTCCTTAACCTCCTTGGACATTTCAGTGTTCTGCTCCTCGCCGCTTTCCGTGATAATGCCACCCTTTGTGAAGCCCTCAGTTCTGGCATTGATGCGTTCTAGCAGAGATTTACCACGATCTTTGAAGGGATTCCCCTTGGGTGGCTCTTCCTCTTGCTTTTCTTCTGGTTTCTGCTCGCCCAGCAGCTGTGCTCGCTGGTCAGGATTGAGATCATGTCTGCCAAGTCCTGTGCGCTTGTACTCTGTGTTCGTCTCCAGTTTCCTGGCCCGTTCCTTGTCCATTGGAGCAAAACGACTCTTGCGCTGCAACCAGTTTCTGGGCGCAAAGTCACGGGGCAGATCTATGGCGTAGGGTTTCTGCAAAGCTGCCCCGGATTTGTCCTCGCTGAAACCATCAATGACGTGGCGCTGCTGGATGTGCTGCTGCTTCTTCTGCTTGGGCTTCTTGTCCGCCAACGAGAAGTCGTAGCGGGTCATGTCATCTCGGGCGTAAATGTCATCATCTTCCTCCTCGAAGGCACCCACTCCGAAGGCCTGACCTCGTATGGAGAGCTGCTTGCTCTTGGCCTGGGCCTCAAGCTGACCGAAGAGATTGATGTGCTGCATGGTCGTAGCAGAGCTTCCTGAGGATTTGGAGAGAATGGGATCACGACTAAGGCCGGAGTAGCTCATGCCAAAGCGATTCTCCTTAGGTGTGTAGAAGATGGGCTCGTAATCGTCCGGAGCGAATGTTATGTCCTCATCATCTTCGTCATCCACCGGCTCGTCGCCGCCGCTGCTGTGCCCCTCATTTGTCAAGGACTTCGAAGGCAATCCCTCGGCGCCGTAGTGCTCTAAGAGATACTGCTCCCTCTGGTTTCGTGCGGTAGCCTGTCTCTTCTCTTTTCTGGTTTGCCGCGGACCCACTCCCTGCCCAGGCTTCCAGCCCATGCTTTTGAGTATCCGCACGGCCACCTTGTCGCGCACCGGTCTCAAGAGCTGCTCCAGAACCGGCATTCCTGGTATAGGCCCCACAATCTCCGGCTGCATCAGCTTCCTGCGCCGCTGGCCGGTACGCTGTTCCTGCTCGTCCTCCTTGGCGAACTCATCGCGGGTGCGCACACCCTGGGGAGCAATACCGAATTCACCCAGATCCTCCTTGTCCATGAAATCCTCCGGCTTTTGCAGCGCCCTCGGTGTGGCCTTCTCCGCGCGCGAACTCTTGAAAGTTTGTGGCGTCCAGCCCTCCAGGGAGCCCACGGTATTCCAGAAACCAGCACTGAAGCCGCCAGTGAAGGCGCCGTGGAATCGCCGCTTTCCATTCTCATCCTTGACGATTTGATCCTCGATTGCCACCGGTTTCTTGGCGGGCACTTCATCTATGATGGAAATCAGCATTTAAATATGTTATTTCGACTGAACTCCATTCAAGGGCCAAACTTACCCTTCTCGAGTGGCTCCAGGGGAGTGCCAAAACGATGCAGATGCTCTTCTTCGTCCATTTTCGTTGAAAACTTAAAGAATTTCCATCAATTTGCGAAAATTGTTTGGTCTGGCCACCAGTGTGTACACACTACATTTAAACGTGCAACAGCTGTTTCCAAACTGAGAGGAGTGTGACCAGCTATCACAAGAGCGAAGCGTTTTGATCTTAAGTGCCGGCGGGCACACTGCACTTTCTAAGCATTTGCAAGTTTTGTAGAAAAACGAATTTAATTGCAATTTTAAGCTGCCTGACAAAGGAGAACGGCGCAAATGGTAAGCTTTGTAGTGAAAACAAAGGAAATACCTTCTGCTCCTTGGAATAAGTGAGAGTGCACTGCATCGGATAGAGCGCAGACACCTGAGGACTGGCCCTCGTCTGTGTGGGTGACTAATGATGTCAACATTTTCTGTTTTCTCTCCCAAGCCGACGTCCATTTTTTGCTAGCTGAGACGTGACTGTTTTTGTTGGCCAAGCAAGTGCAGACAGCATTCATTGGCATCTCTTACACCCGCACCTGCATCCTCACTCGCATCCTGGCCACCTGACACCGCTCACATAGCGCACAGTAAGAGCGAGACGAGAGCGAGATGTCCGAAAAAAACCTCAAGGTGGGCGCCCGCGTCGAGCTGACCGGCAAGGATCTGCTCGGCACGGTGGCCTACGTGGGCATGACCAGCTTCGCCGTTGGCAAGTGGGTGGGCGTCGTGCTGGACGAGCCGAAGGGCAAGAACAGCGGCTCGATCAAGGGCCAGCAGTACTTCCAGTGTGCTGAGAATTGCGGTATGTTCGTGCGGCCCACGCAACTGCGCCTGCTCGAGCCGGCACCCGGTGGTGGCTCCACACCGGGCTCGGCCAGCGGCTCTGGCAGCAGGCGCAGTATCGAGGACATTAGCGGACCCTCGGCCACGCCCACGACAGCCCAACCCACAAAGGCGCGGCTGAGCAGTTCGCGCACCTCGCTCTCCTCCAGCCGCCAGTCGCTGATGGGTTCGCGCTCTCAGCTCACCGGCTCCAGCAGCAGCATTGGACCCAGGAAGAGTCTGGCTCCCCAGAATAGCAAAGATAAGGAGGCTTCCAGCACCTCATCGTTGTCGGAGGCAGCCGCAGCCGCAGCCGGAGCGGGCTCCAAGCGGGCTTCGTTCGTGGAGACGGGCTTCCTGGAGATTCTCAAGCCACAGTTTACCCCATCGCAGCCGTTGCGCTCGCCTTCCTTTACCATGCCAACGAACACGGGAAGTGAGGATAAGACTGCCTTGTTGGAGGCCCAAAAGACAAGTGCCGAACTTCAAACGCAGCTGGCTGATCTCACCGAAAAACTGGAGACTCTGAAGCAGCGTCGTAACGAGGATAAGGAGAGACTACGTGAGTTCGACAAGATGAAGATTCAGTTTGAGCAGCTGCAAGAGTTTCGCACAAAGATTATGGCCGCGCAGGCTTCGCTGCAGAAGGAACTGCAGCGAGCCAAGCAGGAGGCCAAGGATGCCATAGAGGCCAAGGAGCAGCATGCCCAGGAGATGGCCGATCTGGCAGACAATGTGGAGATGATCACTCTGGACAAGGAGATGGCCGAGGAGAAGGCCGACACGTTGCAGCTGGAACTGGAGTCCTCGAAAGAGCGTATTGAGGAGCTACAGGTGGACCTGGAGCTCTTGCGCTCTGAGATGCAAAACAAGGCCGAAACGAACATGGGAAACATCTCTGGCGATGCTGAATCACCCGGCATGTCCACCTACGAGTTCAAGCAGCTGGAGCAGCAAAATATTCGCCTGAAGGAGACCCTAGTGCGGCTCAGGGATCTGTCCGCTCACGACAAGCATGACATACAAAAGCTAACCAAGGAGCTGGAGATGAAGCGATCGGAGGTGGCCGAACTGGAGCGTACCAAGGAGAAGCTGAGCGCCAAGATCGATGAGATGGAGGCCATAGTGGCCGACTTGCAGGTGAGCTATTTGGGATTAGTGTTCAATTTAGGATTTAAGCACTGCCCTCCGCCTTTAATTGGCTTTAGCTCTCACTCGACACTTGAATTTTTGATTAATATTCACGGCTTTCAGCGCACGTAGTCACTTATTGGCGCTTTTGGTTACGCTTTTAGGCTGCTTTGATGTTTTTAGATAAAAGAAATCGGCTAATAAGGTCTGCTTTTATTCAATTTGTGGCCAGTTTATACATTAAATATTAATTTTATTAACCATTTAAGCATTTATAGTGTATTTTTACCTAGATTTTGCTTTTTTATTGCTTCGAAGAAACAAGAAAAAATTAGGTAATACTAAATCCTAATATCCAGGACCTACTTTTTCTACGTATAGGTTTATGCTTAAATTGTATAATTTATTTTTGGCTTCTAAACATACTCCTAATCTTCTAAGGTTCGTATATTTTATTTAAATCAAGCTTTAAGTTCCACCTTTTTAAGCCGATTTCTTTTATTTTGTAAATTGTTTTTTTTCTATATTTTTACGCTGATGGTCTAAGTCTAAAGTAAAACGTTTTTCCATTGCATTTCTTTTTGCCGGCCTGCCTGCCTTAAAACTTAATAATTAACACGGTGTTCAAGGAGGTAAATTTCTGTACATTTTTCCCCAGCGAACATTATCCAAATTTTGTCCTCAACCAAAGTTTTGCATTTAAATTTTCAATTAAATAGATAAATAATACATTTTAATTGCAAACAGGAACAAGTCGATGCTGCACTGGGAGCCGAGGAAATGGTGGAGCAACTGGCTGAAAAGAAAATGGAGTTGGAGGACAAAGTGAAGCTGCTGGAAGAGGAAATTGCCCAGCTGGAGGCTCTGGAGGAGGTCCACGAGCAGCTGGTGGAGAGCAATCACGAATTGGAGCTGGATTTGCGCGAGGAACTCGACTTGGCCAATGGAGCCAAGAAGGAGGTGCTGCGAGAGCGCGATGCAGCCATTGAGACCATCTATGATCGTGATCAGACCATTACCAAATTCAGGGAACTCGTTCAGAAGCTCAATGACCAACTAACAGAGTTAAGGGAACGTACTACCGGCAACGAGAAGGAATCACTGCAAGATCCCAGCCTGAAACTGGCCACCGAGACCATTGACTACAAGCAAATGTTTGCTGAATCAAAGGCTTACACTCGCGCTATCGATGTCCAACTGCGTCAGATCGAACTGAGCCAGGCCAACGAACATGTTCAGATGCTTACGGCCTTCATGCCAGAGTCGTTTATGAGTCGCGGTGGCGACCACGACTCCATACTGGTTGTGCTCCTCATCTCGCGCATAGTCTTCAAGTGCGGCATTGTGGTGTCGCAGACGAGAGAACGCTTCCCAGCCGTGGAGACAGTCACCAGGGAGGCGGTAACACAGGGTCATGCCGTCCAGCAGTATGCCTTCAAGTGTCGCCTCCTTCACTACGTGCACAACCTGCAGTGCGCTCTGCACCAGATCCTTTATGGTCTGAATAGCTGCCAACCGGACACACTGCTAAGAGCTGGAAGCTCTCTACCCGAGATGGTGGCCCAGGAGAAGATAGTTGATGGCATAATTGAGCTGCTGAAATCCAACCAGTTGGATGAGAACAGCACCACGGACAACATTGAGAAGTGTGTGGCCTTCTTTAATGCCATGAACTCGGTTCTTCTGGCCGGTGAGCAACTCCTCAACGAGATCCAGATGATCCGTGACTGTGTGGCTTCCCTGGGAGCTGCCTGCGAGAGCATTCTAAGCGACACGGCCATTGCCAAGGCTATCATTCAGGAGGCAGGTGCCACCAGTGACTCGGTGCTGCTCATCCAGTTCCTCAACGAGAACATGGAAAGTGTGCGGCAGCAGGTGAAGCTGATCAAGCGTCGTCTGCCCAGCGATCAGCACGTGGTCAAGAGCGGTCTCTCGGAGCACAAGGTGGAGGCAATGCGTGCCCTGGCCCAGAATATCAGCAGGATTATGTCGGCAATGCATCAGGCCACCCGCCAGTCCCTGGCTGCCATTGTGGCCACCATCGAGAGTGATAATGCGGCGGAGCATACTTTGGCACAGGACAAGTACTGGTCACTACTGTCCGCTGCTTGCGAAAGGATCTACGAGCAGGATGATCGCGGACCCACGCACAATTTTAAGACCCTGCTGGCACAGGCTAACTCGGACCTGCAGCACATTGCCCAGCATCTGCTGGACAAGGAATACGAGATTATGTCAGCGGCCAACACAGCCGCAGGACAGCAGCGTTCCGGGGCCCAGAGTACACCCATTACCCAGCGTGCTCAGCTTATCAAGAAGCAGCTGGAGCAGAAGAATGTCCTGGCTGCCACTCTGGAGAATCGTGAGGCGGACATTAAGCAACTGAAGCTGGCCGCCAAGATGAAGCAAAATGAGTTGTCTGAGATGCAGATACGCAAGGATCTGGCCGAGAAGAAACTGAGTGTGCTGCAGAGCGAGTATGAGCATGCGGCGGATAAGTGGAAGCAGCAGTATGAGGAGACACGCCAGCAGTTGCAGCTCAAGGAGAAGGAGTTCGAGGAGACCATGGACCACCTGCAGAGCGACATTGATGCTCTGGAGAGCGAGAAGAGCGATTTGCGGGACAAGTTGAAGCTCAACACGAGCACTGGAAAGAATCAGTCCGTTTCGGATACACACTCCCCGCACAATCTATCTGCCACTGGCTCCACATCCGGTGCACAGGGTAGCACCAATACCAGCTACACGGCGCCCGCTGGCACTGCTCCTGTGGTGGCAGAGGAGGTGCAACTCCTGAAGAATGCCTTCAATCAGGAACGCAACGAGCGTCTGCGTTTGCAGGCCCAGGATATGCGTGCCAAGCTGTCACAGTTCGAACCCCTTTATGTGCCCCAGCCGCAGGATCAGCGGATTAGTGCCCTGGAATCGGAGCTGACCAGGATGAAGCATGCCTGGGTGCTGTCCCTGCTGCAGGTGCGATCTCAGGACGCGGTGGGTGCTGGTGGCATCAACACGGTGGCCCTGCAACGTCGCCACCAGCCTCAACCGGCCAGAGGAGAGATTAGCACAAAGGCCTCCCAGCTGGCCTCGGACATCCTGACGGAGTACCTCCAGCGGAAGCCACATCGCGCTGCCCACGGCGAGTTTGCTTCGTTTCCCACCGTCGATGTGAAGCGTGTTCTGCAGATCTAAGCCCGGGGAAAGTATCATGGGGGCCAGGGGCAATCAACAAGGTAACATAGAATAGAACTTAATTTTTGGACTCGTAGCACAATTTCGGTTCTCCTTTCGTAGTTCAAGAAGCTTTCCGATCCTCCAAGAAACCAGAACTCCCTGCTCCTGTGATCTGAGACCTAAATCATGATAGGGCAACCGAGAGACATTATAATTCTACACTTAATTTATGTTTTTTGTATAAAGATTATAATACTATATACTAACTATTTGTGTTTAACTCCAAACATGGCCTATTCTGAAACTAAACTCAAGCGAACTAATACCGGTATTATCTATGAATTCAAATGGCAGGGGAGATGAAACTATGTGAAAGACACACAAACTAAACCAGAGAGAAACAAATCTAATTTGCAAAAACCAGAATTAAATAAATTATATATACTATATTAAAGTAAATATATATTTTGCTGATGTTGTATAACAAATTAAAACCAGTGCGTTTTATTTATAAATACTGTTGTTTTCTTTTTGAATGTTTTTATGTAAACAATTTCAGAATGGTAAACTTCAATTTTTAAAAAGGAAATTACATATTTTACAAGTTACCAAGTGTCTAAGGAAGAGCTCACCTCAAAATCCTCTTGGAAAATGAAAAACTTTTTGAAAAGTGTTTACCTTGAGACACTTTTCAAAAGGTTACTAAAAAGAGAGCGCTTTTCCCTTGACACTTTCCTCGGTTCCCATTAAAAGGTCTCATCCCATATTTTCCTTTTTTCAAAGCACTATCATCTTTTCACTTAAACATTCTACCCTATTACCACAAATGATGTTCTTCTTTTACATCATTTAAGCTATTATCCATAATTTAAGTTAATATCATTTTGGCCAAGCTCAGTTAAACTTTCAAGATCCAAACAGAAAAAACCGTTTAAGCCAAGCAAAGAACCATTACCAAACATGGAATCCACTTCCACATGGCATCCACACAAAAAGAGAGGGGGAGCTGTGCTCGCTCTTAACTCCAAAGAGGGGTTCTCTTCGCTCTCTTTCCCTCTTTGGTTCGTTTCCGTTCGCTTGCCCAACAACAACAACAATAATATGCTTCAATGCCGCTCAGTTGCAGCAACAAAAACAACAATGAAAACAACAGCTGCTGCAATAGCAAAAGAAACTATTACATTAGACCAAAAGCAACAAAAAAAAAAACAACAATAAAACCAACAACTACGACCATAAACCATGATGGCCAAAATAGCCCCTGCTCTTGTACCCACCCCCGTTGGTACTATCCACCTCATTCCACTTTTAAAGTCCAGCAAAACATGGAAGCCCTTCTGCTTGAAATGTAAATTGAAAATAATTTTCTTCTTTTTTTTTCTCGGTTTTCTTTTCCTTTTCCCCCTTTTGACTGGACAGAAAACCAGAAGAATCATTGCTTCTTTTGACCCCATTCTGCTGCGGCTTGGCCTTTTCCGAGCAGTTCCTCCTTTAATAAAGTAATGTGTTTCTGTTTCAGGTGGGAAAACTAAAAGAAATTGTGGGATTTATTACTGGGAACACATATTTATTTATTTTTGTTTCGAAACTTTTTATAAGTATAAACTGAGCTAAGTTAGGAACTCTTTTCTAAGCTCTTAATTTCGGAAATCTATTTATTTGGTAGTTTTTATTGAGCTTTGACGTACATAAAAGAACTTACTTTGTATGTAATTGAAATTAAGTTCAAAATGAATGGAATTTTGCTTTTCCATTATAATGAAAGTTTATATTAAAGAAATTAAAAAATACTTAAAAAAAACTTCAAAATTCATTAGATAGAATTCATTATACTATTATTTGATTAATAAATCTAACTAACTTACCATTTTCAAAGGATAGAACCATTTAGCCAATAGTTTGGGAAGATAAAGTATTTGGCCAAAAGACGTGTTGAGCTAAGTGTGTTCTTAAAATTAATTATCAAAGTTAAAAGTTTTCTTTTGTATAAAAAAAAAAACAATTTGTGAATGTCTTAATTTTTTCCCAAGAATCTGGAGATTCTAGAATATCAATTTTCCTAAGATAATTAAAGTTTATAAAATCTCTTTAGAGTAAATCTTATTGGTCAGGTCGCATTCAAATCTTTGCCACTGTCTAAAGGTTTTTTATTTTAATTCTTTTTATACCCTTGCAGGGTATTATAATTTCAGTCAGAAGTTTGCAACGCAGTGAAGGAGGCACCTCCGACTATATAAAGTATATATATTCTTGATCAGGATCAACAGCCGAGTCGATCTAGCCATGTCCGTCTGTCCGTCTGTCCGTCTGTCCGTCTGTCCGTCTGTCCTTCTGTCCGTCTGTCCGTCTGTCCGTCTGTCCGTCTGTCCGTTTCTACGCAAACTAGTCTCTCAGTTTTGAAGCTATCTGAATGAAACTTTGTAGTTAGCCTTCTATATACTCTCACTCGTATATATGTCGGAACGGGCCGGATCGGACGACTATATCATATAGCTGCCATAGGAATGATCGGAAAATTTTTACAAAAAAATTTTTAACTTTTTCAGTTTTCAATAGAATTGGATCAAATTTGAGATATAGCCATTTTACTATACTCTACAATTTTGCATAAAATTTTATGAAAATCGGACTACTATATCATATAGCTCCCATAGGAACGATCGAGAAATTAATACAATTAAATTTATAACCTTTTCAGTTTTTAACTGATTTTCATCAAATTTTAGGTATAGGCATTTAATTTAAGTCTTAAATTTTGTGGTAAATTTCATGAAAATCGGACGACTATATCATATAGGTGCCATACAAACGATCGTTTGATGTGGAGGAAAAATGCAAATCAGTGAATGTAAAACTGCAAATATAATATTTATAGGTGAATACAATGAAAGCAGGTATTGCTTCATTGTTTTTTAACACAAAGATATATAATTTATATTGTATGGATTCCTATTCATAGAAGTTCTATCTGCAAGGGTATATAAACTTCGGCGTGCCGAAGTTAGCTTCCTTTCTTGTTATAATGTATATTCATACCAGATCTAAAACGAAATTGTTTTTTTAAATAAACAGTTTAAGTATTCAAAAAGTCTTAAAGAAATTCAAGATGCTTAACACAACTATCTGTTTCGAAGAATGCATTTACCAACCGAGTAATAACTTAGTGTCACATTTCAAAGGTTCTCCTAAATTAACCTTTTAAAAAGACATACATTTTCCTAGAAAAAAACACAACTGGCATATCAAAATCCACTTTAAATAATCGTGCCAAGATAATAAACCAATAAAGAACCAGAAATGTGTGTAGTTTTGTGTCTTGCACTGAGTAGGTGCAAACCACGTAGAGGCTTCTCCGCCGAAAAATACAATTAGCTCCAAGCTCCAAGCTCCCATGCGATCTGATTGCTGTACATTTATGGAGCGGCTTCCGATGTGTGTCGGTCGGTCGGTCGGTCGCCTTGGTTCCGGGCCACCTTTCGGGCCAAAAGCCATTCTCACGCCCGGCTCTTGGCCAGCGTCTGACCTTTTTACGGTGCTTTTGTTTATGGTCAGCCCACTGGGCTTTGGTTTGGTAATAAACTTTACCTGTGTGTTTACCTTTTCGGCGCGAACAAAGACTTAAAGAGCCGGGCTTCTCGCTCTGCTTGCAGCGACCGCCAAAGTGACAGATCCTTCTCCCAGCTCCAAGCTCCAAGCTCCAATTCACTTTAGTTTACAATTGTCACTGACACACATATCTGGTAACGTAACTACATATGTTATTGTTCTGCAGTTCCAGTTTTATACAGCAACTTCTTTTGCTAGCAAACAACTTTTGGCCAGAAAGCGTCCGGTAATGCCCCGAAAACTTGTTGCTGAGTTGACTCATTGCAAGCGATAAAAACAACATAATTATTGTACATATTATAAGCTAGATGTATGTGTGCTTTGAATTGTTTTTTATAGAGACTACGGGATGCCCTTAAATAGGTTAAATAATTGGGGAAAATAAGGGGTTACTCTATGGTTAATATCAGATGAAACTTATGATAGTTTTAGGTATCTATATTATTTATTTTATAATTTATTTCAAGCTCATCTTATTTAATTTTTTATATTATTTTATTATTCACTTACAACTCTCACTCATTTATTCTTTTATTTAATTTATTAAACCCTTTCAAGTGGAACAATCTTCATGGTCAGTTCTTCTCTCTTCTCTAAAATTGACTTTAAAAAAATTCCACCAACTTGCTGAAAAAGTTAATCAACTTCCCCTACGAGCAAATCTCAAAAAAATAGCAGAAATAATTAAAGAAAAAACTGCGAGACAATGCAGAGCAAGAGCAAGAAACCGAAACCAGTTTGGGTGGGGTATAAGTATCTTAGTATCTTTGGTACAGAACACCCTAGATGGATGGATGGATGGTTGGACATGGACATGGACATGGACATGGACCCCAAACAAGAGCGAGAGTGTAAGACAATAAAGCGGCTCAAGAACACTTGAATGCAGGTGAACTGAACAAGTGGAAACCGGAGATGAAAGAGCCACGAGATGGAATTCCATGCGGATGCCCCACAAATGTACGAGGAAGGCATCCCAAAAAAACCTTCCCCATTAGCCAGGGAACCCACAGAAGATCGATCTTCGACGGAAGCACGGAAGTTTCCCTCATGGCAGGTATACAAAGAGTTAGTTACGCCTGGTTAGGCCACCATCCGAGAGCTCAATTTGGTAAATGGCCAAACAGTAGCCAACACAGTGGCCACTAGACACCGTTGAACATAAACAAGCGGCCACGCAACATCAGCATTATGGATCACTCTAGAGGAGGAGGAGCAGGAGGAGGCGGATACATTGGGCATGGCCACCAAGAACAATGGTCTGCTGTCGGTCTGGAGCTCATCTTCATCTTCATCTTCACTTGGCCACTTGAGGGGCTCATTGTGCATGTTGTGCTGGCTGAGAGGTGAAGGGGTGGAACTTGGGCATACATAGTACCACGCACTCGACGGTCGGACCATGTCTATCTCTCCTCGTCAGTACTTGATGCACTGGGAAAAATAATGTAATTGATTGGGGTAAGTTAAAGGAATTTTGTTGAATATTTAATTACATTCATTTATATATATTTTGTTATTGAATTATTTTTTAACCTTAATGTAAGCTTGCAGGGTTTTTGAAATATTTAATATATATATTATAAATTATATTATATTTTAATATATAAATTATATACTATAATACCCTGCAAGTTTACATTACATACATACATATATAATATATATTTATTCGGCAGTTTGCAAAACTGTTAATCAGTCATTTCTGACCATATAAAGTAAATAAAGCCGAGTCAATTTAGCCACGTCAGTCGCTTTCTACACAACCTAGTCTCTTAGTTTTGAAGCTATCTAAATAAATCTTTGGAGTTAGTTTACTATATTTCTATATGTTCTCATTAGTATTAAAGTCTGAACGGGAAGCCAGATCGAACGACTTTATTATATAGCTGCCATAGGAACTGTCTGTCTCTATAGCTCTATATCTATGTAGCTGTCTCCCGCTCCCACTCACTATCCCACTCCCACTCCCTATCCCACTCCCACTCCCACTCCCTCTCCCTCCCCTCTCCCACTCCCTCTCCCTCTCCCACTCCCACTCCCTCTCCCACACCTTCTGTATGACTGTGTTACTCTAGAGGTGCCTCTTTCTCTGTACTACTCTCTGCCACTCTCTTGAGGTAGCTCATTTCTCTAGTGCTCTCACATTCTCTGTTCTCTCCCGGAGGCTATAAATACAGAGCTCAAGCGCCTTGCCGGCCTTAGTCTGTCCGTGGCCGCCGTCCTGTTAACATCTATGGGGATAGTGATTGTGATTACCCCTCGACCCCAGAAATGTGTAGGCTCAATGTTTATAGTCGAACTTAATTATAAATTATTATCAATATTGTTTTCTTAACATTACTATCATTTAAAAATGATTTCTAAATATTAAAATACTCAAATATTCATAACATTTTCCATTTAAAATACTAAAGTCCCATATGCTAGTATCATAATAAAAGCCAACACAGAATAACTTTCCAAATTAAGATTAATGCATCTTTGATCGATAACACATTCGAACTAATGATCCTATGGATATATTGGCTTCCTTTCTCGTTTTAGTTTTAATTTTTCCTAACTATATTAATATTTTTGTTCCCTTTAAGTTTATATTTTTTTCGTAGTGTACATCCATTGTTATTGCCGTTCTTGGGCGCCCATTGTTTCTGTTGCTGTTTGTGTTCTTGCCGTATGTAAATTTTGCATTGAAGCCTCTGTGTACGTATGGGTGCATGTGTGGTTTTTGGAGGTCCAGGTCTCTTCTGACCCTACTCAACCCCTCACTCCTCCAAAACTGAGAGTTCACTTGGCCGCTTTCGTAAGTCAGTCCCAATGCAAAACAAACGTTGAAGAGCGGCCAAGTTGCAAGAGTGGAGAGCAAACAAGGCAAATGTTGGCTAAGAGAAAGCTACAACAGTTGCAAGGAGGGGAAGAGAGCGAGCGAGAGAGCCCCAAGTGGAGCTTACCTTTGGCTTGAAGTTGTGTAGGGTTGTCTAGTTATTGGAAATATTGTATTTACATTGGAATATAAAGAAAATAAGAATTTAAAGGCAAAGGAAATACATTTAATAAGTATTTCTAAAGAGATACTTATAGATTTTTATATTTTCTTAAAACAAGAACCTTAGTAAAATTCAATTTTATTTATTTTCTGACTCACTTTTTAGGGAAAATACCCATATGGCTTCTCTGCTGAAAACTCACACATTACGAAAAGCCAATTAATTTCGTTTATCTCTTTCCCCGCATTGCACTTTATTATCTTATAAACTTATCTGAATTACCTTGTAACCATTATTATTACTCCACTGCAATCTAATCATCTCGATAAGAGCTCGACAACCCTGCTTACCCTCTCGTAACTCTCTCTTGGCTTCGTACATTAAGAGAGCGAGGAGAGCCTTCGTTTTGTTGGTTGTTGTTGCCAAGATACGAGCTTTAGCCATCGTCGTCGCTTGGTTACTCATTTGTTTTGCCAATTTTCGTAGCACGGCTACGTTATTCAGTTAGTAACGTTCGCGCCAGCCAGACGTAACCGAAACGCGTCGCGTCGTCTCCGAGAAAAAAATAAAACTACTGGGGAAAGCCAGAAAATCTAAAGCTCTCGAAAGACAAATCGTAAGCAAGAGAATCGGACCAAGTTAAAGCCAAACGAAGCGAAGCGAAGTGCGCGTAGATTCCGGAGAATCGTTATAGAAATCGGAATCCGGAATTGTTATATAGGAATCCGACTCCAACTCGAGCTCGGATTTGGACAGCCGGAAGTTCTTGGCTTGGAGAGTGGAGGAGCAGCAGCGTCGTGACCGAGGTTTCTGCCCCTTTTGTTTTGGCGATGCAAATACGGGGATAACTAAATGTATTTAACGTTTAACGGAGAACGCTTTTTGTTGCGAAAGTGGAAAGTATCTGCTGGATACTCGGATACTTTTCGCTTTTGGGGGAAATTAATTAGAGCAAAAGTCCCATGCTAAGCGCGCATTTATTTTTGTTGTTTTGTCAATAATACTGCCAAAATCAGACACATACTATATATATAGATATAGTACAGCGGAAATGCAAAACAATAACTCCGCGGTGTGTGTCTCTCTCTGTGAACAGTGCCTTTGTGTGTGTTGCTACGAATTAAAATAAAATAAACACAAAAAGAAGTACATAAATAAATAAATAAATGTTGGCCAAAAGTGTTGCCTGAAGCGTATAATATATAACTATATATATTGGCTTAAAAAACAACAGTTGCTGGCAAAAGGCAGCTAGGCGTGAAGTGCTTGCCAAATGGATTTTCTATATAACAAATGCGAAGCTACCGAAAAAGTAGTGATATACTTATAAATCAGTTAGAAATTTTAAACAGAAAATAAAAACGCGAATTGCAGTACTTTAAATAGTGAGAAATATCTTGTAAATACAACTCAAAGGCGGGGCTACTTACTAACCTCCTCATTAAATCATTTATATTAAACGTTAACCTTGTAAATGGTCCCTTAAAACACCTTAAAAATGTATTTAAATTGCTTGAAAGGTTCCTTAAATGTTGTAAATATTCCAAAACCCAACCTTTAAGATACTTAAAACCTTCTTTAGGTTACTTAAACCGCATGAAGCTTAACTAAATACCAACTAAAGACTTACTTAAGTCGGGCTAAAGGCAAATTCCATTTTATATTAACCCTCTTGCTTAACCCTGTAGTTATATGTCATCCCAAAAACACACACCCCCACACCCTGAAATAAACAAAATACGAAAAACCTAAAACGAAATGAAAACCCCCAGAAACAAGTAACTAAAAACGTGCCAACGTGACCAACAAACGTTGCTCCTTTTTGGCCAAAGTGATTGGAGGTTTTCCTAGTGCTAATTCTCTCATTACGGTTGCGTACTCTTAATATAATTCATATAATATTTATATATCTAACTGAAACCAACTCCGCCGCTCCAGACATCATCGCATCCGCTCTCTAACCCCTCTTCGATCTGGGCTGCTCCCTGGGGGCAGCATGGAACTATGCTCGGAACCATCACTATACCTACTACTACTCCAACGGCGTCATCTGAATACCTAACACCCCCGAGATATAGGAACTGCATATCTGCAGATTAATCCCAAAGCAGCCAAAACTTAAACAAATTGCATCTTGTGCGTGTACGTGTGTGTTGAGTGTGTGTTCAGTGTGTGTGTTATGTCTGTAAATCTGGTTAGTTCGTTGTTGTGCCCGTAATAATACACCACACACCCGCCACCCGCTACCGTCGCCGCTCGAAAAACGCTAACGATCATGCATAAACCAAAGCTAACGAATGCTATAACCGCCGCCGCCATTGCCTCATCCATATCCACCAATAATAACAACAACAACCACAACAAGCACACCAGTGCCGGCAGAGAGTCGAAGCGGGCACGCCAGTTCGGAATCGGGATTGGCATTGGCCACCACCCATCGGGCCATCGGCCGGACGACTCCGGCTTCGACCACCTCGACCACTCGTCACTAATTGGGGATTCGATTGATTTAGAACACTACATCAGCGCAATGGAGGCCAGGAGGCATGACCAGGAGCCGGATGTGTGGGCCCAGTTGCAGCAAAAGGAATCGGATATATTGCTGGCCGCCGAATTGGGCAAGGCATTGCTGGAGAAGAACGAAGAGCTGGTCAAGCAGCAGGAGAAACTCATTGAGGACTATTCCAGCAAAATTGAGGTGAGTCAAAGGGGAAGATTATTAAGATTATTATTTAAATAAATAATATTTCAATTATATAAAGCTTGGAGTTCCCATATGTAGAATATTTAGGCATCTTATTGTTGTATTGCTTAAATATTTATTTTAAAGTTCAGGGAATTAGCTGTCTTAAAGGTTAAAAATTCTATAAGATGTTCTAGGAGAACCTTTTGGGGTTTAAAATATAATCAATCTAAGCCTTTGAGTTAAAAAACAAGGAAGGAAGCTAAGTTTTTAACCCGTGCATATTGAAATTCTATCACTGGGAATTAATTCAATATAAATTATATATATTTATGTTAAAAAACAATCCCTGCTTTCATTTCATTCTCAGTTTTGCATTTTCCTCTATATGATATAGTCGTTAGATTTTCATAGAATTTCACACAAAATTCTAGATTAATATATATTGGCTTTATATCAAATTTGATTAAAATCTGTTGAAAAATGGAAAAGTTATAATTTTTTGTTCTTAAAATTTTCCGATTATTCCTATGGCAGCTTTATATACATATATGTATGTATAAATATAGTCCCCCGATCCGCCATGCTCCGACTTATATACTAGTAAAATTATATAGAAGAATAACTCCATAGTTTCATTCAAATAGCCTAAATTTGTTCCAAAACAAATCTCGCACATCTGAGCTTATGATTCTCAACTGGTTCTAACATACCCGGAACGAAGTGCCTTCTGCCGGCCAAGTCTCAGAAATGTGTTGTGTTACAAAAGTTGCAAGTCATTGTTTATTAGTGTTCAAAGTTAGTAACTGATCATATTGTACATACTTACTGGTCCTTGATTCTTACTGATCATAGTTACTTACTGGTCATAGATACTTACTGTTCAGAGTTACTTAATGCTCATTGATATTAACTGATCAGAGTTACTTACTGATCAGAGTTAAATTAAATATCAGCTCGCTGCTCCTCTCTGCCTCTCCCCCTTTCTCGCTATGTTAGTGGCTCTATGTTAATCTCTAGAGGCAACTCCTCTCCCGCCCACTCACACTCACTTTCTCTGCTCCTCTCTTTCCTCGGGGACTATAAATAGAGCCGCTAAGGGGCCGCGCGCCTCAGTCTGTCCTAGGGGTACCTAGTGTTAACATCTCAAGTGATAGTGATAGTGATTACCTTTCGATCCCAAAAATATGACGTGGCCAATGCAATACATCTGGATGACCAGGAAGAAGCTCAGAAATGTGTTGTTACAAAAGTTGCAAGTCATTGTTTATTAGTTTTCAAAATTAGTAACTGATCATACATACATACTTACTGGCCATAGATACTTACTTCTTAGAGTTACAGAGTTGAGAGCAGTAAGCTCATAGATACCTACTGATCATAGTTAATTACGAATCATAGTTATTTACTGATCATAGTTACTTACTGGTCATAGATACTTACTGTTTATAGATACTTACTGTTCAGAGTTATTTACTGGTCATATTTATATATGTTCTTTATTTTTTATTGTAATCGATGATCATTATTGAAATTTAAAGGCAATAGAATACTCTTTCTTTATACGTTTTTTATATACATATCTCTTTAGTAATGGAAAATTTTCCTATTCCCATAAATCACTGCAATATCTGATTTGTTTAAGTGTTGGCTGTAAATGAACAAATTATTTTATTGCTATCGGAATAGCAATTATTTGTTCACTTCTTTAGCAAACTAGAGCTCAAAGTTTCTATGAAGACAATTTGAATAGAAAGTCATCCTAGAACTATTTTAAATTGCTTGTTTTTTATTTTAATAGACTCTTAATAGTTTTCTTCCCTTCTTATTTATTAACAAACTAATAGTTCTCATAAAAGGGCTTAACATTTACCCTTTCTCTATGGGTTTTTTTGATTGACTCACCTGGTGATTTGCATTGATTATTGCCATGACATGTGGCCATACTTTTCTTATCTGCCATAATACGACCTCCCAGCATGGACGCATTGCTGGCATTCCCAGGACGAGAGTTAAATATTATATATTCAAATACATATGTATATGGATATTGATTTTGTTTTGTATATTTAATGAAACTCCACACCTGTCTGTCCAATGCAGCTCTGTGCGAGCTACATAGGTAACTTTTGTGGATTGCAATTTTATGGCAGTGAGGGATAGAGGCAGACAGACAGACACAGACAGGTGGGGGAACATTAACTATTTAGACTGCCCGGCGGTCATGTCACTGCGCAGTAAACTACTGAACTATATAGTACATCACGTAAGGCAATCGATTTTAGTTTTTTTTTGTCACACGTCAACGTTCTTTCTACAGTAAAAAATTATGTGGAAATGTGGAAGTTTTCAGGGTGCCAGCAAAGTGGCTTTATCAGGCGTTCTTCCCTAAAGTCCATGCATAACACCTTGTCTAATGCTTCACAAAAGTTTATGTCTGCTGTCCGACCTTGAACCGCTCCAGTGGGTGGTTGCTCACCTGTTCACACACACACACACAAACTTAGGGTAACTAAACTGACAATAGAAAGAATTTCCGATGGGTAAACAACCATTCCGCTCCAGCTAATGCTATCGCTCCAAGTGAAGTTCAAGCCGCGGCTCAAGTTCGTGGCCGTTCATTAGCATATTGCCTCGAATTTTCCTACCAATTTTCCTACCACCCAAAACCAATAGTTAGGCTAATGTACTTTTGTTGACCGAACGCGGTGTTTTCTTATCAATTACGAACCGTCGACCGATTAATGGCAATCCAATGCACGGAAATACCAGGAAATGCCAAGGGATGGTGATGATGGAAGGGAAACCATGCCTTACCTGAGCCCACGACGGTGTCAGTAACCCAAACAAAGGACACAGCAATGCGTTGAACTTGAATATTATCATTGGTACATATTAGGCCTTTTATACGTTACTTGGCTTAGTCACTCAAACTGGGTTTTGTTTTGTTTTTTTTAAAAAAAAAGCTTCGTTTAGGAGTGACTTCATCTTCACTTGGAAATGAAAGTGCGAAGGCCAATTGCTGACCGCATAATATCCTGTTAATATTGTCATGATGATGTCATGGGAGAGTCGTTGTAATAACCTGTTTGAAATTGTAAATATTTGAAGACTTAATTGGGAAGGCAGCGATCAAGTCTCATTATCTAGAGAATTAGCGTTAAAACAAAATCATGAAAGTTTAAACAAATATTTGATTATAATTGTATACGTACTTATCTGTTTTAGATTGCATTATTGATATTATCGTATATGTTTTGAGTTCAAATATGTATGAAATATTATATATTTTATACCTCTCTCAAGTTTAATTTAATTCGTACTTAAATATCATTCCCTTACAACCATTTAGCAGTATAAATTCATAGTGAAAACTCATTAACTTTTCAGCTACAGCCTTTCATTTTCACACTTTTCAATAATTCATAGTTATTCCACTCGTAAAGGTTCCCTCTCAATTCATATACATATGTCTGTGTATATATTCCCCCATCACTTGCATTTTCCAATAAAAAACCATTAACTTTATTACCCGCCCGTTCCAATTAAAACCCCAAAAATAAAAATGACCAGAGAATTCCCATGTTCCATTTTCCATTAAACCAATTAAATGAAAATCGCTTTAACCGTAATGAAATTGGGCTGCCACAAAATAGAGCTTGACCTGGACAATTGTCATTTAATTTATTTGTTTTAATGTCTTAGTAATAGTTTTAGTGAATTCTGCCGTGTGGCTGCCGCATAAATCTTTGTGGATTTTTGAATTTTTTGTCACCTTGACTTTACCTTTTGGGCTTTCGGATATAGCAAGTGACGTGAGGCCAAAATATTTGTTAGATTCACTTTTATTTGCGTGCTTTTGGCAATATGCAAAATTGTTGTTCGTGTATCTAATTAATTTCATCAACGTTTTGGAGCGAACAATGTCACTTCAGTCGCTGGATGGATGAGTGGTCAGCCATCCTAAGCTATATACTATATGGTTAGTATACATATATATTTCTGTGTGAAAGACTGACGTAATTAGACTGCTCTCTGTGGTGGGTTGTAGGTGTTTGGTTGTGGCTTAAATGGCAGTTGCTTTGGTCCGAAGCTAGCCCATTTTTTTCTGTATTTTTGTTTTTCGTTGTTGTATTTCGCGGTCTGTTGAAGCGTGTGTGCCAATTTACGAGCATTGCCTTTTATTTTTAGCTACGATTTGTTTTTGCATTAACTTTTATATGAGCCATAATATTATATATATACTATATATTGTTCTGCGGCCCGATTCTCAAATGCTAATGAGCTTCAAGGCCTTGTATGGGTCATTTTAGTGGTTTTTCCTTGAGAAGGAGGGTTTCTCCTGAGGAGATTAAGGGTGTAAGTGAGGAGCATGGTTTGGGTAAGCTTGGTAATTATTTAAAGGCTTAAAACCATTAATACCTTTCCCTATATAAATACTTTTCATTGCTCTCTAGAACACCTTTTCCTTTATAAATTGACAAACAAAGCCTATGCTCTGAATCATTCTTACATTCTAAGGCTCATTCTCAGCCATATTTCACTTGGTTTTTTCATGTTGTTTACTGTAAAGCCCACTCCTTATTAACTAGTTCACAGACAAGCGACCAAAAATAGTTGACCATTGTTGAGTTGACTACCAAAACGTGTTTTCTTCGGGGCCCGAAAGAGAGAACAATTGGTGGGGAAATCAATTGGTATCTGGCAAAAGGTATTGTGGCAAGCTGTAAGTCGCTCGTTTATCACGATCTGTAGAAAATTGTGGCTATTACTGGTTAGGAAATTGAAGCCCAACTTGGTCGCTCCAAGTGTTGCAAATGGCAGCCGAAAGTAAAGTCTATAATTTGGTATGTAGGCGTTTGTGTTACGGTTAAGCATTTAAATAATTCCAATCGCTTTCGGGCCCCCTTTGGCCTTTTCGAAAGTCTACGCCCCTGAAGTCGCTTTAAAAACTTTTGTTAGGTTTTGCGACTGACATTGGCTTGGCCAACAGCAACTGGTTTCAGTTTAAGTTT